CGTCCCAGCAGCACCCGCCGCAGCCGTGGGCTCGTCTCCCGCCTGGTTGGCCCGGCACCTCCGGAGGCGGTGGCCGTGGTGGCGGCCCGCGCAGCTTGGCGTCTACCAGCGGCTCCAGTGCTGTGACCTGCCAGTACCAGCTTCAGACCGGGCCTCTCCGCGGCACTCTGTGCCGCCGCCCGCACCCGACCGCCCGCTGTTTCCGCCGCCTCGACGATCTTTTTCGTCGTCGCTTTGGCCCGGCCCCGGACCTCCCTGACTGGCACAGCCTGCTCCGCCAGGGCGTGCCGATCTTTGAGTTAGACATGGATCAGATAGGTGCTGCTTTGCATGCTTTGTATGCTGACGCTTCTAGTGTTGCTGGATCTTACTACCCTGTGTACTCTAGTTTAGGTGTTTCACCCTTGTGTAGCTTAGCTTCCCCTGCTGCGACAGGCGTAGGACTGCCTAGGTTGCCTAGTCTAGTCGCTGCACCGGCTCCGTCCCCGGCCTCCGCCACTGCGTCGCTGTCCTTCACTCTCGACTCTGGTGCTTCTGCCTGCTTCTTCCGCGACCGTTCCACGCTCACGCCGCTTGCTGCACCTGCTGTTGTCTCTCTCGCTGACCCCTCTGCGGGTCCGGTCGTCGCGCGCAGTTCTACGTCCCTTCCCTGTCCGGCAGTTCCCTCGGGCTCCCTTACTGGCCTCCACGTTCCCTCGTTCTCCAGGAACCTGGTTGGTGTCGGCTGTCTCCAGGACCTCGGCGTCACCACCACGTTCCCTGGGCACGAGCGGTTCGCTGTCTGTTCTGAGGCTGTCTCAGGTTCCCCCCTTGCGACGTTCCCCCGGGACCCGGTGTCCGGTCTGTTTACCCTAGACACCGCTTCCCCCCCGGTTGGTGCGTCCTCCCAGGTCGCTGCAGCTTGCTCGTGTCGGTCCCTCACTCACCCCTCCCTTCTCTGGCACCACCGCTTAGGTCACCCTGCTCTCCCGCGTCTGCGTCACATGTCCCAGCACGGTCTTGTCTTAGGTCTCCCCGCGTCGCTCCCTGCCCTTCCTCCCTCGACTGCGCCACCGTGCACGCCTTGCGTCGAGGGTCGGCTCCGCCGTGCTCCTCACTCCTCCTCGCTGCGTCCTGCTACTGCCCCCCTTCAGACCCTGCACTTGGACGTTTGGGGCCCTGCCCCCGTCCCCGGACCGCGCGGTGAGCGCTACTTCCTTGTGCTCGTCGACGACTACACGCGCTACACCACGGTGTTTCCCCTGGAGCGGAAGGCCGACGTGCCCGACGTTCTTCTCCCGTGGGTTGTGGCTGCGCGTCTCCACCGCGGTCTCCCCGTGTTGTGTCTCCACTCCGACCGTGGCGGCGAGTTCGCCTCTGGTCGGCTTGGACAGTTCTGTCGTGCGGAGGGCATCACCCAGTCGTACACCTTGCCGGACTCGCCACAGCAGAATGGGGTTGCTGAGCGCCGCATCGGCTTGGTCATGGAGGTCGCCCGTACCTCCATGATCCATGCCGATGCCCCCCATTTTCTGTGGCCGTTCGCTGTTCGCTACGCGGCTCACCAGCTTAACCTGTGGCCACGCTCCCAGCGGCCGCAGGTTTCGCCGACCCTCCTTTGGACCGGGTCCCCCGGTGACGCGTCTGCGTTCCACGTCTGGGGCTGCCTTGCTCACGTTCGTGCCTCTAGCACGGACAAGCTCACTGCCCGCACTGTCCCCTGTGTCTTCCTCGGTTTCCCCCTGGACTCGTCTGACTGGCTTTTCTACCACCCGCCGTCTCACCGCTTCCTCCACTCTCGTGACGTCACCTTTGACGAGTCCGTCTCCTTCTACCGCCGCTTCCCTCACCGAGGTCTCCCAGTTGCCCCCCCCCTTTTCCTTGCTCCCTCTCCCCCGGTAGCCCCTGCCCCTCTTCCGCCTCGTCCTGCCCCGTCTGGTGTCTCCCACGTCACTCCCCTCCCGTCGGTTGTCCCCGTTGAGGAGTCTGCTGACTCTGGTGGTACCCCCGGTCCGTCCTTGCCGCGTCCCCCTTCCCCGGTGCCTCCGCCCCCACTGTCGCAGTCGCCGACCCCGCTGCCGCCGCCGTCGCCGTCGCCGCCGCAGCCGTCGCCGCTGTCGTCGCTGCCGCAGCCGTCGCCGCTGTCGCCGTCGCCGCAGCCGTTGCCGCCACTGCCGCCGCTGCTCTCGGCCCCTGGGGGTGCTGGTGTGGAGGAGGGTGTTCGTCCTGCGGCTTCTGGGGGTGCTGCTGGTGTTGGAGCGGGTTCTCGCTCTGGGGGTGTTGGTTCTGGGGGTGCTGCTGTTGAGTGTTCTGCCGACGGTCGTTCTGCCTCTGCTGGTCCGAGAGTTCCGGCCCAGCCGTCGTCGCCGCCGCAGCAGCCGTCGCCGCCGGTTTCCGCTCTCCGCCTGCTCGGCCTTCCCTCCCCGGACCGCGCGCCGGTGTCTCCCCCACCGCCTCCTGACCTCCCTGTCTACGGTCCTGTGTTCCCGCCGCCAGACTCGTCTCTGGCCCGTCTTCCTCCTCGTTCCCCTCCTGTGTCTCCTCCGCTGTCCCCTGACCCTACCCCTCCGTCTCACGTTTGGGCTCGCCGTCCCTCCCGTGCTCGTCCCGTCTCTCCTGTCCTGCCCACCCACCCTATGTTGCTCCGTTCCCACTCGTCTCGTCCTCCCCTCCTCCCGTCCCCTCCTCCCTCGTCCCTTGCTGTTGCACCTCCTCCGTTCTCTGACTACCTCCGTGCTGCTCGTCCCCTTGTCCCTCGGGTCCTTGCCTCTCTTGTTACCGACCCTGCTGTTCCTGTCTCGCGCCTTGACGCGCTTGTCGCTGCTGTCGCTGACTTCGCTTCTACCCGCCGCCTTGACTACGCTACCGCTCTGGTCTCTGACCCTGCCCGTCCTCTGTCCGTCGGGGGTGCTCCTGCCCTTGGCAGTGACGTCCTAGAGGACAGGCAGTACGAGCTGGCTTTCCTTTCCGAGGCTGCTCCCCATCTCTGCTCCATGCTGTTAGTCCCTAAGGGTGACCCAGACGCCTTCGACATCCCGACCCCTCGCACCTACGCTGAGGCCACCTCGGGACCTTGGGCCTCTCAGTGGATAGCTGCCATGGAGCAGGAGATGGCATCTTGGAGATCCACCGGCACTTACGTCGACGCAGTTCCCCCGCCTGGGGTGAACGTAGTCGATGGTCGGTGGCTCTTCAAGGTGAAGCGCCCCCCTGGAGAGCCGCCTGTCTTCAAGGCGCGCTACGTGGCCAGAGGTTTCAGTCAGCGCGAGGGGGTTGACTTCTTCCAGACCTTCGCCCCGACCCCGAAGATGACCACTCTTCGGGCGCTGCTACACGTAGCAGCACAGCGTGACTACGAGCTTCACTCCCTCGACTTCTCTACTGCCTTTCTTCAGGGCAGCCTACACGAGCAGGTCTACCTGCGCCGACCACAGGGCTTCACTGGTACCTTCCCTCCTGGGACCCAGTGGCTTCTCAGGCGCCCGGTCTACGGCCTGCGTCAGGCTCCCCGCGAGTGGCACGACACGCTACGTGCCACGTTAGCAGACCTGCAGTTCTTTCCGTCCTCTGCTGACCCTTCACTGTTTGTGCGTTCCGGCCAGACTCCGTTCTACATCCTTGTCTACGTAGACGACCTGGTCTTCGCTACTCCTGACAGGGACGCACTGGCCTCTGTGAAGGCTGAGCTGCTGAAGAGACACACCTGCACTGACCTTGGAGAGCTGCGTCGCTATCTTGGCCTGCAGATCTCTAGGGACAGAGCAGCACGCACCATCACTCTGACCCAGTCACACTTGGTGCGTCAGGTCCTTCAGAGGTTCGGTCTTCAGTTCTCCTCCGCACAGCCCACACCTCTACCCGTAGACCATGGGCTCTCTGCTCCCGTTCCTGAGGAGCCAGTAGAGCCCAGTGGCCCCTACGCAGAGCTGGTGGGTTGCCTCATGTACCTGATGACTTGCACTCGCCCAGATCTCGCATACCCTCTCAGCATCCTGGCTCGCTTTGTGGCTACAGGCAGACACCGACCTCAGCACTGGTCTGCCGCTAAGAGGGTTTTGCGTTATCTTGCTAGTACATCAGGCATGGGGTTAGTGCTAGGAGGACGCAGGCCAGTGGTCCTTACTGGACACACAGACGCTTCTTGGGCAGACGACGCTGAGACGCTCAGGTCGTCGCAGGGCTACTGTTTCAGCCTTGGTTCGGGTGCTATCTCTTGGAGATCCACTCGCTCGTCGTCTGTGGCTCAGTCTAGCTGTGAGGCTGAGATCTACGCTGGTGCCATGGCGGCACAGGAGCTCCGCTGGCTGACCTTCTTGCTCACAGACTTAGGTGAGCGGCCTAGCTCTGCCCCGGTCCTGTACGCTGACAACAGGGCCATGATACTCCTGTGTCAGGAGCCTCGGCTTGAGGGCAGAGCGAAGCATATCCAGCTGCGGTACTTCCTCCTGCGCGAGCTACAGCAGCGCCGCCAGGCCCGCGTAGTTCACTTGGCCTCAGGTGCCAACACAGCTGATATCTTTACTAAGGCGCTTGCGCCTAAAGATCATCAGCGGCACTGTGTACAGCTTGGTCTTGTTCCTATAGCTGCTCCCCTGTTAGGATCCTGATTGTGTACTCTCTATTATATATGCTTGTCAGACTGGCCTTGTGGCCTTACCTCCAGTGGCTGGACTAGTAGTGCCACCCTGGCTTGCTTCAGTTTTGGTTGTATTCTTGCTGACTGGTCTCCAGACCCCTGCCTCAGTGGTTGGACTAGTAGTGCCGCCCTGAGCTGTTTGCTTCTTGTTTAGTTTCACCCCTTGTCTAGCCTAGGGGGTGTGTCAACTTATACATATTATCTATGTAGAAGTTATAGGCTAGACTGAGGTATGCTTCTAGTGAGTACAACCAACTAGTATTTGTTCTAGGTTTCCACCTCTAGTAATCATTCGTTTCTACGTTAACAGAAACTCCCTGTTTTTTTCCTGAATCAGGAAAAATTTCCTGACTTCTGGGGGCCTGCACCAATCGCATACCATTTACCATACGACTCCATTATAAGACTACACTGTTACATATCAAACATATTGCACGTTCCTTACATAACTAATAAAAACGGAGGAAAAGGCAAATGTTAGCACATGGAAAAACATTGCAAGCAAAGCACATCTCTTGCCCACATTTCCCAACCTGGGCGTTACGCTTTCCACCTTCGAGCTCAAAGGCCAATTACAGTTGCAATCATATCCAAACCACCTTGATGCACCGATCTTCCATCGCGTCACCTCACCCCATGCTCTCACACACATTCACTCTTGCCACATCCACAGTCCCTCGCCACATAGCCATACACGGTTCATGACACTTCAAAACCCGAGCTCACAAGCTCTCCAGCTGATTCCACCCAGTCCTGATCCTCAACCCCTGTACTGCCGCTGCTGCTGCTGCTGCTGCTGCTGCCGTCGACCCTCTACGACCCTTACATCCTCCTCTTTCTCCTCGAGTCAGCAGCTCAAGCACTAGGCCCAATTCGCCTCTCCGAGCCCATTCTGCTGCCCTACACCTCCTCCTCCCCCTGCCCGTCTCTCCTTGCCTGAATCCGACCTTCCCGGACTCACCAACCCTCGTCCGGATGACCCTCTGCTCTGATGCTCCCCTCCTCCACCTCCCCCTCCTCCCCCTCCCCCAATACTACTGCTTCCCCTAGGTGTCACCCTTTGCCCGGGGCTCTCTCCCCCCCCGCTTCCCCTGCTGCCTGCTCTCCCTGGGCTCTCACGATACCCCCTCCCTTGCCGCTCCCCCCTCTGCTGCTGCCCCTGCTGCTGCCTCCCTCTCTCATCCCCCTCTCGCTCCCTCCCTCGCTCTCTGTCCCTCTCCCCTCTAGACCGATGCTGGTGGTGGTGGTTGCCTCCCTGGGACCCGCCCTGTCTCTGCTGCTGCTGGGGAGAATCTCGAGGGGATTGCAGGTTGCGGACACGGGGGGAGCGGGAGCCTTTCTTCTCGTGTAGAGGGGTGGTGCCGGGCGTGTATCTCCCAGGCGTGCTGCAGGGAAGGGATCAGTGGAAGGGAAGAGATGAGCGGGAAATGGGGGGGAAGGGAGCCTTTCTTCTCGTGTAGAGGGGTGGTGCCGGGCGTGTATCTCCCAGGCGTGTTGCAGGGAAGCGATCGGAGGACGGGAAGAGATGAGAGGGGAAGTCAGGGGGGGCGGAAGCCGTTCTTCATGTACAGAGGGGTGGAGCCGGGGGTGTGAGTCGATTTTTGAGTCGACTAAAAAATCGACTCATTACAAGCGGAAGCCGTTCTTCATGTACAGAGGGGTGGAGCCGGGGGTGTATCTCCCAGGTGTGCCGGGGGTGAGAGATACGGGAGGGTGAGAAGGGGGGGGAGCGGGGGGGGGGGGGGGGGGGGGATCTAAGCCTTGCCAATGAAGAGCATATGAGAGCAGACTTTGATTGATAAGGGTTAAAAGGCTCGCACCTCGGTTGGGGGTTGTTGATGGGGCCATATGCCTGTGACGATAGGTAGTTGAGTGCGGTAACCACATCGTGAATCATGGGCCACTGGGTTGCCTTATGACGAGCCTGCTCCTGCAGACACGTGCATCCAGGCCTTCGTCCTAGAAAGCACATGAGCCTCTTACCTTGGTTGGGGGTTGTTTATGGGGTCATATGCCTGCGACGATAAGTAGTTGAGTGCGGTAACCACGTCGTGGATCATGGGCCGCTGGCTCGCCTGCTCCTGCAGGCACATGGCGGCCACAGCCAGCGCCTGGTACAGCCCGCGCATGGGGTAGCGGCCCTGCAGCAGGGGGTCCGCCATGGCTGGAAACTTCCGCCGGTCCTTGAAGAGAGGCCGTGCCTGGGAGGGGGGGTGGGGGGCAGATGTATGCGAATGGGGGAAGGGAGACAGGGAGGGGTGTATGGGGATGGGGGACAGGAGGTAGGGAGGGGAGAGGAGAGAAAAAGAGGGTGGTGGGTTGTTGAGACTCCTGCTCCCGGAAGCCCATGGCGGCCACTGCGAACGCATGGCAGTTCTGACAAAAATTTCTGCTCTTTCAGCTTCAAGATACTCCATGGCTGCACGTCACACTGCACGAGTATGCAACGCACAGAAGGGAGGCACAAGTCCGAGCTAACCAGGATTTCCGAGGGTAGAGACAGGAAACACCCACCCAAGCAACGAGGTTGTGCTCTCCATGCGGCCTCGAGCTGTCAATCGCCTTCCGCCCGGTAATCAGCTCCAGCAGCACCACTCCGAAACTATACACATCGCTCTTAACCGTCAGCTGCCCCGTCATAGCATACTCGGGCGCGCAGTACCCATACGTCCCCATCACCCTAGTCGAAACGTGCGTCTTGTCCCCCACGGGCCCGAGTTTCGCCAGCCCGAAGTCAGAGAGTTTGGGATGCCAGTGGTCGTCGAGCAGGATGTTGGAGGACTTGAAGTCGCGGTAGATCACCGGCGGACTCGCCTCCTCGTGCAGGTACTCCAGGCCCTTGGCCGCCCCCGCCGCCACGCGCATGCGGATGTTCCAGTCTAGGGACGCCTTGCCCTCAGGGATGTCTGGGGAGAGAGAGGGCCCATGATGTGTGTGGTAGGGGGAGGGGGTGGGGGGGTGAGGAGGGGGGGGGTTGAGGGGGGTCTGTGCCGAGAAAAGGAGTCCTGGACTAGTTAGAGTAAAGGTGGGTTGGAGTGCAGTGTGAAGCAGCTGATAGAAGAATCGAATGCTGGGGGAGTGCACTGTGCAAGTGCAGAGGAGTGCAACAGAGTGCAGAGGAGTGCAACAGAGCGCTCTCAGAAAAGGAGCCATGAACTGCTCCACTCACCATGCAGATGGTCCTCCAGCGCGCCACGTGGCATGAACTCGTACACCAGCAGCCGTTGATCGCCGTCCGCGCAGTACCCAATGAGGTTCACAAGATTCGGATGATGCAGCAGGCTGAGCATGAGCACCTCCACCAGAAACTCCCGGTTGCCCTGCACTCCGTTCCGGTCCAACTGCTTCACTGCTACCACCTGGTTGGGTGAAAGAGCAGCATTTGCAAGCATGGCAGGGGAACCAGATTAGGTTTTGTTTGGGGTGGTGCAGCAGGCTGAGCGGGAGCACCTCCACCAGAAACTCCCGGTTGCCCTGCACTTTGTTCCGGTCCAACTGCTTCACTGCTACCACCTGGTTGGGTGAAAGAGCAGCATTTGCAAGCATGGCAGGGGAACCAGATTAGGTTTTGTTTGGGGTGATGCGGCAGGCTGAGCATGAGCACCTCCACCAGAAACTCCTTTTTGCCGTGCACGCCGTTCCGATTCAATTGCTTCACCGCTACAACCTGTTTCCAGGGAAGAAAAGCGAGACCGAACAGGACAAGGTATAATGGAGGGCAATGCTGAGACGCGGCCACAGGCCGAGCATGAGCCCGAGCACCTCTACTGGGAACGCCGGCTCGATCGAGCACAGAAAGGAAATGCCCTCATGATCTCATGACCTCCACTGAATAGCATTCAGAGAGGAAACACCCTCATGATCTCATGACCTCATGACCTCATGACCTCATGACCTCATGACCTCATGATCTCATGACCTCATGACCTCATGACCTCATGACCTCATGACCTCATGATCTCATGACCTCATGACCTCATGATCTCATGACCTCATGACCTCATGACCTCATGACCTCATGATCTCATGACCACATGACCTCATGACCTCATGACCTCATGACCTCATGACCTCATGATCTCATGACCTCATGACCTCATGACCTCATGACCTCATGACCTCATGACCTCATGACCTCATGACCTCATGATCTCATGACCTCATGACCTCATGACCTCATGACCTCATGACCTCATGACCTCATGATCTCATGACCTCATTACCTCATGACCTCATGACCTCATGACCTACACTGAAAAGCCTTGACCTGGGTCAATTTCTAGCGCAATCCTCGCAATCCTTAATCCACTAATCCCCTTGGTACCCGCTCCGAAACGCAACAGAGTCGCAACAACCCTGTTTCGCGCTACCAGAAAGCCCAACGAAAGCATGACGCTGACTGCTCACGTCCTACCGCCCCGTCATCAGGACAGAGATCCGCGAATTTCAGCCATCCTCGATGCAGTAAGCCTGTTAGGCTGTCTTGCAAGTCTTCACTCCCAAACATCCAACATAGGATCCCTCCCAAGAAAATCCACCCACCCGTTCCCTTGAATCCTGGTCACGCGTCCAAACCCATTATAAGCTGTCTCACAACGAAGAACCTTGAAGAAGTAACCCACCTGTCCTGTAGACTCCAGCCAGCCTCCGTACACGCATCCAACCCCGTTACAAGCTGTCTCACGACCGTGCGACGTTTCACGAATCCAGAAGTACCCACCTGTCCTGTAGACTTCATCGTCCTTAGTACACGCTGTCAAACCTGCTTTAAGCTGCCTGAACAACGGCTCACTACCCACCTGCCCTGTAGACTCCAGCCAGCCTTTGTACACGCGGCCAAACCCGCCCTCTCCAATGAAGTTCTTCTCGGAAAATCCGCCCGTCGCTCGCTCCAGCTCTCGGAACGTGAACGTCTGCGCCGCAATCCGCGCTCCCGTGGGTCCCGGTGACGGCACTACTGCTGGCAACTCGCTTTGAGACGGTGGCCGCTCCTGCGCGTGTGTACCTGGTAACCCATGTAACCCGGTTGGTGCGCCTGGTGGTAACCCGGTAACCCCCTGTGTCGGTGGATTTGACCGCTGGGAGTCTGCTGCTGGTCCATCGTCTCGTGATAGCAACTGGTCTGTCGGTGCTGCCGTTGAGGACTTGTCAGATCTACAGGGTTCTGATAGGCCGCTTTGGGCTTTAATCTTCGGGCTCTGAGCTAGCAACGGTCCATTATCTGCAGGTAAACGAGTAAGCACAACGGGGAATCAGAAACTAGCAACGCACCACGGGACGGGGAAATTTGCTGAATTTTCACCTCGGTTCGTAAAAAAGGGCAGCGGAAAGAACAGTGGGGAAAGAAGGCATGAATAACTGAATGTGTAGGATGAATTTGATCAAAGGTTCTAAGCAAAAGCATCACCCATTTCATCAAATCCGATACAGACTCCTAATCTTGAAGAGTTTCGTTGCCACGTGAGTGAGCCGTGTCAGATTTTACGCAGAATATGATCAATTGCGGAGTGCAAAATGACCTTCGCGAACCTTATCTCCGCCTCTATCCGCCGAATTCGGCCGTGTGTGTCACACACCAGTATTGTGATTGGTACAACTAAAAGTCTGCTGCAGAAATGATAAACGACTAAACAACAGCTCCTCAAATTCCAGCGTTCCGTTCATTCGAATCCGGGCGGATAAACGCGTCACCTACGTCTATATCGCGTACGACTATCTGGACTTTGGAGCAACATCACCTTCCCGCGGTACCTGAAAAATCGTCCGGCGCAACTTTCGGCGCGGGAACGGCCTCCTCTGTTGCATCTCTCCGCCGGGGAGGAGGCGTATCGTCCTTGGGCTTCGATCCCGCACAGCCCATAGAACCAGCCTATTACGCCGTAGCACTCAACGGACTACTCTAGGTGCCGGATTCGAACACATGCCAGCAGCACGGTCAGCATCAAATCATCTACTCGGCATCAGGTCAGCTAAATACAATGGAAGCCGCATGGAATTGGGACGCAATTCAGAGAGTCGCTGAGGCACGCTGAGTGCTATCTCCAAAGCGCTACGAGTTTGTAATACCGGAGCATTCAAAGCACGAGCATCAAACGTCTCTAGATAGCATTCCTCGAAAATAACTCAACTCCAGACACAATTGGGATTGTTGACCTCAGACACCTGACCTAGGGTTTGCTGGCAGCGGAACTAGCACAAGCTTAGGTTAGGGTGCTGCTGTCAGAAAGGGAGCAAGAGAAAAAGCACGGTTCAGGGAGCAGAAGGGAGGGGAAGGGAAGGGAAGGAAGGGGGGAAAGGGATGAACAGGAGGAGAGTGTGAGTGAGAGGAAGGTAGTGTTGAACAGGGGAACGGAAGGGAATGCGTAGGGGGATGGATGGGGGAGGGGGATGACACTACAGTACATGAAGAGGTATGGTGTGTTAACTTGCGATTTGTTGCGGTCTGGTATGGTCCGCCAGCACCCTGCTGGTGCGAGGTGGCTGTCAAATTCGGGAAAGTCTGGGTTTTTGTGGGACGTTGACTGACGGAGAAGCAGACTGCCCCGTAAAGGTTCGTTTCAAGTTCGTTTACAGGTTCGCTTGTAACTGTACTGTACGGTCATCCTTGCGGGACGGGTGCTGCTGACGGAAGGCATATTCGCTCGCATCGCATCCGCGTCGCTTTCCACCCTACCCACCCGCCCAGCAGTTGCTTGGCTTCCGTTCCGTTCCGTTCTGTTTCGTGTGGCGGGAATTTCACGTCTTGACTGCAACACGGGCAGCGGGAAGCTTGGTTGCATTGACAACCAGAGTGGTGGATGTTGCTGCAAAGAGTGCCCCCCAGAGCCATGATGACACGATGACCCATGACATGACATCCATGATGCCTGCCGACCGCTGAGCTGACACCCCCGACGATGACCTTGGAAGCACCGCTGCTCCTCCTCTGCCCTCAAATCGGCTGCTTTTGCTTTGGGGGACTTACTCCGCGCACGCGTGTCACGCCAATCCCGCTCGTTTCCTCCCTCCCTCGAACCTCATAGCCCCATCTTCTCTGGCGAGAGATTTGTGGCAGGCCGGAGCCAATGGGTGAAAGTGCGGCCTGGAAAGCCAATAACGAGTAAAACTACAACGAGGGACCTATAGTGCCAATATCCCTTACCGAGAAATCTATGTTGAGGTGAATAACGAGCATGTAGTAAATATAATACATTGCCCATCTTATTCGCTGTACCTTATTGTGGTCCAAAATCTGGGGAGACCCTCGAGAAGGAAGCCCGCAGACCAAGGGGCGAGCTAGAGTCGTCGATGACAGTTGGCGCTATTGCAACGGATGGTCCTAGATTAATCGATGCATGGTCGGTACGATGCACACAGCCGGGGCACAGGTGAGCCCCCCGTGCGCCCATAAGCAAAAAGGCTGAACCATCACCGTAGTAAACCATCTGCTATCAGTCTCTGCTGTATCAAACCGTCTTTAACGCCGTTTTGAATTTGACCCAAGGTTACTGAACCTGCACTCCCGCACTCCACCACACTCAGGCGAATTCTCAGCAGAGCTGTTCAGTGTACACAGTGTCATGTACAGCCGCATTGCCACCTGTCGTACAGCGAGTCAATCTTCTGCCGCAAGGCTGCGAGCCACTCGCTCCCTCGCGCTCTAGAAGTTGGTTGAAGATGATAAGGGCGTGTGCGTTTTGGAAAAATAGTTTAAGTACGTACCGCCAGGACGTACAGTGAGTACGAACAGGGGATATATCAGCGAACGAACTTTCAATGTCCCACCTACAAAATGGGCCGCAATATTGAGAGCGCGGTCAGGTACACATTTTGGTACGTACACGCTTAAAGGACTCGAGAGTCACGTCCGTAACATGCGAGAACTTTCAACATGGAAGGTCCTGAATTTCGTTTAGTTCATGTGCCTTTCACTGCAGTCTGATTTGGGCGCTGATATTTTCGCATTTCGCACGTTACTCTGTTGAGCATCGCAAGCATTCGAACGTGAAGAGGTGTGGGGTCAAGTGTTACAGAACCGAATCATGTCGAAAGCTGGGTATGTACGGCCTCGTGCTAATCCCCCCTAAACGGTGCTCGTTCCCCGTTGTGTGCCATTTTAACGAGGGCTCGACGAAAGTTTTCGAGAATTTCGCGAATCGTCTTACCACGCAAAAGTGCATACTCCTTCGGCATTGCGTTCCAAAACCCCCACGCCCCAAGGGCAGTGTCAAGTTTCACTTTACTGCATTTCAACCAGTGCAGTGAGGTTATTTCGGGTAGAACATCGGTTTGCTGACTTTTTCTATCGGTTCAGAGAATTTTGGGAGAAAACGAACTCCAGTGTCTCCTGCTGATAAGTAGGCTGGAAGCAGAGCTGATAGCATCTCTTGCAGATTCCTACTCCCATCTGCTATCGCCAACCATGGGCTGCTCATCGTGAGGTGGTCGAACCGCCCTAGAACGCCGCTACGCCGCTTCCTGCGCCGTCTAGAAGCTTTCATTCGTTCGTAGCGCCAGTCTGCGGATCTCGCGTGACGATAAGCCATGCCGCACCGCATGTTTATCCTCCGTACATCGGAATCGCATTCTTGTCGTACGTAACCGCTGCTATCTGTCCACCACAGCCTATGGAGCTCCCACTGTTGAACGTTATCAACTCACTCCTAGCCTCTCCGAGAAAAATCATCCCCCCGGTGCGAGAATAAACATCCCTGTGCGACAGTCCCACCCCACCCACTCTTCAGTAGGCACGCAACGCGTGGCCTATTTCCGTAGCTAGCCCTGTTATCATCGCTCCGAAGATCGTCTCTTCTCAGGCCGAACCCGCAAGCCTTCTTATGAGTCACTATCGCTCGCTCCTTCCTCCGAGCAGTCAATCCGATCAGGAAGCCTTCGGAACGCGGAAAATGCGGAACTACAGTTGGACAATGCGGACTCCCCGCCGTGCGTTGCGCGATCTCGCGCCTCTCTCCACCCTTCGCGCCGTGGCTATCACCTTTCTCGTTCTCTCCCCGTTTCTCTCTCCCCCATCTGTCTGCCGCCCGTTCGACCTAGCCTCGTCGGATCGTGAGATCATTCTCTGGAAGGGCCCGCAATCCTCCGCCTCGCATGCTGCGTTTTTCACGCAAGCGTCGTCCCGAGAAGTATCCCGGAAAGCGCCGCCGCAGAGCTTCTTAGCACATGCCGCACGAGCCGGCAGCAGCAGCAGCAGCAGGAAGAGACATCGAGGGGTGGCTTCTTATGGTGCTAACGTGGACTTAGCAGCCGAAGTGCAAGAATCTAAAACTCCCGTGAGCGGCGGGAGCGGTGGGATGGTCGGGGGGACATCTGAGCTGGAGGCTAAGAGTGATGTGATTTTCAAACCTGTGTGGAATGATGACGTGGACAGTCTGAAGCGCCTGGAAGCTTCCACAAAGCTCCTGGGATTCTTGCACGACAAGGCTATACGGTCCCGAATGCCTGTTATGCACTCGGTGCTCTGGGAGACGCCATGGCTGCCGGTTAGCCGTCAGGACTACTTCCGGCCTGACGGAAAGTACCTCTTCGTGACCGGCTCGCGGGATTACTGCGCGGGGGTGAAGCACTTCCACCTCAGCCTGACGTGTCTGATCGCTGAGGCGGCGTATCTGAACCGTACGTTGATCCTGGACATGACTCAGTGCGTGAACGCGTGGCACAGCGGAGGCGGGCACCATATCAGATCCATCCACGTGTACTATGATTTGGACTCTCTCAGGTGAGGCCAAGTTGAGGTAATTCCGTCCTCATATCGGATCCGTCCACGTGTAGTGCGCCTTCTTTCCAGTAATGCTGGAAAGATCTCGTGTCATTCTTTGTTACGTCTTGTGAGATCCCTTTCTCGTCCATCCGTCCATCCATCCATCCATCCATCCATCCATCCATCCATCCATCCATCCATCCATCCATCCATCCATCCATCCATCCATCCATCCATCCATCCATCCATCCATCCATCCATCCATCCATCCAAACATCCATCCATCCATCCATCCATCCATCCATCCATCCATCCATCCATCCATCCATCCATCCATCCATCCATCCATCCATCCATCCATCCATCCATCCATCCATCCATCCATCCATCCATCCATCCATCCATCCATCCATCCATCCATCCATCCATCCATCCATCCATCCATCCATCCATCCATCCATCCATCCATCCATCCATCCATCCATCCATCCATCCATCCCCATCCTCAATCACCCATACCCCCCTCCCCCCTCCCCCCTCCCCCAGAGCCGTGCCGTTCACTCCCCTGCAGGGTTTCCTGAGGGGAGCGCGCGAGTGGCAGGTGCAGGAGAGGCAGGCGGGGCGGGAGGGAGCCGTCCCTGTGCGCCTGGTGGACTCAAAAGCGCCCATGGGAGCGCTTGCCGCGGACAGGGACACAACTGTGGTGATTCGCGAGACGAGCTTCGGATTCAGCACGTGCAAGGTGGGCGGGGAGACATGCAAGGTGGGCGGGGAGACATGCAAGGTGGGCGGGGAGATGGATTGGGGGGATGTGTGGGGTGGGTGCAATGGGTGGGACGGGTGAGATGGGTGGGACGGGTGAGATGGGTGGGATGGGTCTGGGGGTGAGTGATTGGGAGAGCATGATTGGGCTGGGTCTGGGGATGGGTCTTGTTGAATACTCTGAAGGACTGTAGGACTAAACGACTATAGGACTATAGGACTATTGGACTATCGTACCATTTCAGCCAGATCTAATCTCCCTCCCGTGCCAACACATACCTTCCTCTTCCCCCCCCCCCCTCCCCTTGCAGCACCACAACCTCCCATTGGCAGTGAACGAGACGACCATCCGATTCCGCCCAGAGCTGCTGGCCCTGGCAGCGAACAGCTCAGCGTCCATGTATGGAGGAGACTTCGACGCCGTGCACATCAGGCAGTGATGCAACCTCAATTGCACCTCCTCTTTCCAGTCCCCCTCCTCCTCCCGCCCCCCTCTCTCTCCTTCCCCCTGCCTTCCTGCCCCCCTTTCCAGCACCACAACCTCCCATTGCCAGTGAACGAAACGACCATCCGATTCCGCCCAGAGCTGCTGGCCCTAGCAGCGACCATCTCTGCGCCCTTACCACCTACTCTTTCCTTCTCTTTTCCTCTCCCCTCCCTTCCCCCCCCCCCCCCACCCCCCCTTTCCCTTGCAGCGCCACAACCTCCCATTGGCAGTGAACGAAACGACCATTCGATTCCGGCCAGAGCTGCTGGCCCTGGCGGCGAACATCTCAGCGTCCATTAATGGAGGCGACTTCGACGCCGTGCACGTCAGGCGGGGCGACAAGCTCCGGGCGGAGTTCTGGCCGCACCTAGACCATGACACGCGTCCCGAGAGGTAAGGGGGCTTCCTGTTTGTGCTCTGTTGGGTTCGGCTGCCCTGGAATGGAGGGGGTTTTGACGCCGTGCACGTCAGGCGGGGAGACAAGCTCCGGGCGGAGTTCTGGCCGCACCTGGACCATGACACGCGTCCCGAGAGGTACGACACCTAGACCGTGATACCCACCCTGAGAGGTACGACACCTAGACCATGATACCCGCCCTGAGAGGTATGGCACCTAGACCGTGATACCCACCCTGAGAGGTACGGCACCTAGACCATGATACCCATCCTGAGAGGTACGGCACCTAGACCATGATACCCACCCTGAGAGATGAGGGAAATTTCTGTTGGTGCCCTGTTGGCGTTAGCTGCCTATGAGTGGAGGCAACTTTGATGCGTGCACGCGAGGTGCGGAGACAGACTCCAGGCGGAATTGTGGTCGCACTTGACCGTGACACGGTGACACACCTCCATGGCGTAATGGGAGGACACTCTCTTCTCTTATGCCTCAGAACACTGCTCGCACCATCCTACTACTGTCCCATTGTGTTATTTGTTCCCATGTTTTAATTTGCCGTCACTCACTGGTGACTCCTGTGTGCGTATTCCCTTCCCCCTTGGCTCTTTTTTCCACGCTCTTCACCTTGCTGCGTGTAATGAGTCTGCTTTAAAGTCGACTCAAAAGCACACTCATTGAAGGCTGCTGTGTGCTTATTCCCTCTCCCCTTTGGCTCCTTTTGCCAACCTGACCTCCTTGTTCCTTCCCACTGTGTGCAGTCTCCTCGAGAAGCTCCCCCGATTCGTTGCACCTGGACGCACTTTGTACATTGCGACGAATGAGAAGACCCCCGGATTCTTTGACCCATTGAAGAAGGTCTACCCCATCCGGATGTTTCAAGACTTCCACTACCTATGGGCTCCTGGCACGCCCTGGTTCGATGGGTACATGCGCCTTCTGGGACCGGACCCAAAAATGGATGCATATATGGAGGTGAGTTACAACTTACAATGTCTAGCGTACATATTTTTGCTTCTTGTGAGTGTGTTGTGGAGGTCTGATGGTAAATGTCGCTCTGGACCTGTGTTGTTGTTTCAGGTAATTGTAGAGTACACGATACTTCAAGGGGCAAAGATTACAGTGGAGACGTTTAATGACCTTACAGAGGATGATAGGGCTGGAAATGTGTAATGTTGTTTTTGCATCTCGTGTAATAAGCCGCAATGCCTTTACTGGCATCTAAAGAACTACGTCCTGCTATGGAATCAAATGCTTGGATGCTTCCATGATTTTTTTTTTCAGGGTTGCGACTGCACTACAGGGTGAAACGATCATTTGTGGGGATAGTTGATCGAAGTTGTGGAAGTTGGTTTGAGAGAGGTAGCCCTTATTATGGGACTGCATTTGGAGGAAACACGTAGCTAGTTGAGGATTTTTCGCACCCCTTCATATCGAGGATGGCTCCAATCTCTTGGGGATTTCACCAATCACAGGGCTATCCCTCATTCTGCCCTGGAGAACATTGGGCTCCTTCCCGAACCTAGACCCCTCACCTGTCGCCGACGTTCGCGTTCAGCGACATAGGTTCTTCTACCACAAGTACTAACCCAAACCTCTCCCCAGGCCTGATGTGTCTCGGCTCGGCCGTAAGGCCCAGATCGGTAGGCTGGGTCTTACCCAGCTTCGGTGAGAGGCTTGGCACACATCACTGCACGCGCACTCAATCGTTGTACTGTACCTGGCCATTCCAAGCCAAAGGTTCCCAAAACCAAACCCAGCGGCACCAGACCTCCCCTTCTTCACCGCACTAAACCCCAGTCAATTCTCCCGTTCCCATTCAGCGTGAGAGGTCTCTAGGGAGTGACTGCCTGTGATGACTATACTTGCTTGCAAGGAAACCTCTATCCCTACCACTACCCTCCTAGACTGCAGGTTCAGCACTCTCGTTAGGGCACAGGTTTCTTAGTTTAGAGGTGTAGGTAGCGCATCCTTTCGCGTCAGGTTTGCCGTCTTCCGTCTCTCTCGTAAGGCGCCAATTTCCATGAGCCATTAATCCGCTGGGAACCCATTAGTCATCAGGCTTCTGGAACATCTGACTCTGGTGCGACCAGACGTAGTGCCTAGTAACGCCTAATCATGGGTTCGGGCTCAGGAGATGGCTCCGGCGTGGACGACATTCCCCAGGAGATCCTCGATCTTCTCCCGGCCGATCCGTTCGAAATGTTGAAGATATCGCGGAGCATCGCCGTCAGAGCCATGTCCGCGCACGCGCAGCAAGCGGAGCGGGACTCGAGTAACGCGCGGAGCAATTACGAGGCGAGCCAAGGGTCGATGAAGAGCCTCGAGGAGAAAGTTTCAAGCCTCGAGGCTTCGTTAAGGGAAGCTATGGACAAGGTCGACAAGTCGGAGCAGGAACAGGTGCGTCGGTGTCCTTGAGTTTTCTTCATGTCTCTTCGTTTCCCTACATTTATCTTCACACTTCCCTTCAAACCCTTCACTTCCTCTCACGTCCCTTCGTTTCCTTTAACTTCCCTTGATTTCCCTTCGTTTCCCTTCGTATCTCGTCGTTTCCCCGTGCCGTTCTGCTCCGTGCTTTGGTCTCGACCGTTCATTGTGCTGTGCCGCGCTTGCGCAGCTCCAATTTAAAACATTATACTGAGAAAAAAAAATCATTCTCTTCCTGTTGCTTCTCAAACAGGCGCGCCTGTCCAATGAGAAGACGGCACTTGTCGCCATGGTGAAGAAGCTCAACCGTGACGTGGCAAAGGTGCGTCGTCCTTCCCCCATCCATCATATAAGCTTTTCCTCAGCATTATCGAAGCTTCGTCCAATCCTCTAAATTATCGTAAGCCCCAGTTACTATCGTCTTCTTAACTTCTGCGTCTACTACCTTTCATCTTCATCCGCTCTTCCGCATCCGCTCCTGTCCAGCCATTCCAACCGTTCTCAACGTGCCGTCGCATTCTGTCAACGCTCTCCGTTCCCTCACAACCCGCACGTTCCGCATTTTTCGTATACTTTCTCCCCTTCTCCCACCCAGCTGGAGACGTTCAAGCGCACGTTGATGCAGCAGCTGCAGGACGAGAACGACGACGAGCCACCCTCCATGGTGAGTGAAGCAACAGGCGCAGGCTACACAAGGGTGGGTGGTTGTTGCATCGTCTCTGGCACCCCCTATCCGCGCGTTGATGCAGCTCCTGCAGGACGAGAACGCCGACGAGCCACCGTCCAGGGTGAGTGAATCAGCAGCCTCAGATGCCACTTGTACGCGCTGGCGGGCGGTTAAGGTGTCTCTACAACCCTTTAACCACACGCGTTGATGCAGCAGCTACAGGGCGAGAACGACGACGAGCCGCCCTCCATGGTGAGTGAAGCAGCAGGGAGGTGCAACGGACTCAGTAATTCCGTTTTTTTCGCCATCTCTGCCTCTTCCTCAAGCGAGCCAAGCTCACTGCTCTTGCCTGAGAATTGGGCTTGGCTCTCCTCTCTCCTCTCGCCTGAGTTTCCGTCCCGTTAGCCACCAGCCAAGCCAAGCCCATTCCTCTCCCATCTCCTGCTCCCCCACCCACCCCGTTCGTTCACCCACCCCGTTCGTTCACCTCCCATCCCCTTGTCCTCCCCTTGTCCGGAAAAACTGCTCCGAGCTTCCATCCATCAGGCTCGTCTCATGCCTTCTGCCACGCTGAGCTGAGCGCCCCTGTTGCCCAAAAGCCAATTTGACGCTCCTCATTGCAGCCTCCGCCGTTCCCAGGCCCGCATCATCAGAGCCCGCATCATCAGAGCCTCTCTATCCCTCCGCAGTTACCCGCCTCAACGCACGGCTCCTCTGTGCCCCCCTTCCTCTCTCCCCCTTCCTCCCTCCTTCCTCTCTCCCCCCCCTTCCTCCCTCCTCCGTCCTCTCTCCCCCTTTCTCCCTCCTCCTTCCTCTCTCCCCCTTTCTCCCTCCTCCTTCCTCTCTCCCCCTTTCTCCCTCCTCCTTCCTCTCTCCCCCTTTCTCCCTCCTCCTTCCTCTCTCCCCCTTCCTCCCTCCTCCTTCCTCTCTCCCCCTTCCTCCCACCTCCTTCCTCTCTCTCCCTTCCTCCCACCTCCTTCCTCTCTCCCCCTTCCTCCCACCTCCTTCCTCTCTCCCCCTTCCTCCCTCCTCCTTCCTCTCTCCCCCTTCCTCCCTCCTCCTTCCTCTCTCCCCCTTTCTCCCTCCTCCTTCCTCTCTCCCCCTTTCTCCCTCCTCCTTCCTCTCTCCCCCTTTCTCCCTCCTCCTTCCTCTCTCCCCCTTTCTCCCTCCTCCTTCCTCTCTCCCCCTTTCTCCCTCCTCCTTCCTCTCTCCCCCTTCCTCCCTCCTCCTTCCTCTCTCCCCCTTTCTACCTCCTCCTTCCTCTCTCCCCCTTCCTCCCACCTCCTTCCTCTCTCCCCCTTCCTCCCACCTCCTTCCTCTCTCTCCCTTCCTCCCACCTCCTTCCTCTCTCCCCCTTCCTCCCACCTCCTTCCTCTCTCCCCCTTCCTCCCTCCTCCTTCCTCTCTCCCCCTTCCTCCCTCCTCCGTCCTCTCTCCCCCTTTCTCCCTCCTCCTTCCTCTCTCCCCCTTTCTCCCTCCTCCTTCCTCTCTCCCCCTTTCTCCCTCCTCCTTCCTCTCTCCCCCTTTCTCCCTCCTCCTTCCTCTCTCCCCCTTCCTCCCTCCTCCTTCCTCTCTCCCCCTTTCTACCTCCTCCTTCCTCTCTCCCCCTTCCTCCCACCTCCTTCCTCTCTCCCCCTTCCTCCCACCTCCTTCCTCTCTCTCCCTTCCTCCCACCTCCTTCCTCTCTCCCCCTTCCTCCCACCTCCTTCCTCTCTCCCCCTTCCTACCTCCTCCTTCCTCTCTCCCCCTTCCTCCCACCTCCTTCCTCTCTCCCCCTTCCTCCCACCTCCTTCCTCTCTCCCCCTTCCTCCCTCCTCCTTCCTCTCTCCCCCTCCCTCCCACCTCCTTCCCTCTCCCCCTTTCTACCTCCTCCTTCCTCTCTCCCCCTTCCTCCCACCTCCTTCCTCTCTCCCCCTTCCTCCCACCTCCTTCCTCTCTCCCCTTCCTCCCACCTCCTTCCTCTCTCCCCCTTTCTACCTCCTCCTTCCTCTCTCCCCCTTCCTCCCACCTCCTTCCTCTCTCCCCCTTCCTCCCACCTCCTTCCGCTCTCCCCCTTCCTCCCTCCTCCTTCCTCTCTCCCCCTTCCTCCCTCCTCCTTCCTCTCTCCCCCTTCCTCCCTCCTCCTTCCTCTCTCCCCCTTCCTCCCACCTCCTTCCTCTCTCCCCCTTCCTCCCACCTCCTTCCTCTCTCCCCCTTCCTCCCACCTCCTTCCTCTCTCCCCCTTCCTCCCTCCTCCTTCCTCTCTCCCCCTTCCTCCCTCCTCCTTCCTCTCTCCCCCTCCCTCCCACCTCCTTCCCTCTCCCCCTTTCTACCTCCTCCTTCCTCTCTCCCCCTTCCTCCCACCTCCTTCCTCTCTCCCCCTTCCTCCCACCTCCTTCCTCTCTCCCCCTTCCTCCCACCTCCTTCCTCTCTCCCCCTTTCTACCTCCTCCTTCCTCTCTCCCCCTTCCTCCCACCTCCTTCCTCTCCCCCTTCCTCCCTCCTCCTTCCTCTCTCCCCTTCCTCCCTCCTCCTTCCTCTCTCCCCCTTCCTCCCTCCTCCTTCCTCTCTCCCCTTCCTCCCACCTCCTTCCTCTCTCCCCCTTCCTCCCACCTCCTTCCTCTCTCCCCCTTCCTCCCACCTCCTTCCTCTCTCCCCCTTCCTCCCTCCTCCTTCCTCTCTCCCCCTTCCTCCCACCTCCTTCCTCTCTCCCCCTTCCTCCCACCTCCTTCCTCTCTCCCCCTTCCTCCCACCTCCTTCCTCTCTCCCCCTTCCTCCCTCCTCCTTCCTCTCTCCCCCTTCCTCCCACCTCCTTCCTCTCTCCCCCTTCCTCCCACCTCCTTCCTCTCTCCCCCTTCCTCCCTCCTCCTTCCTCTCTCCCCCTTCCTCCCACCTCCTTCCTCTCTCCCCCTTCCTCCCTCCTCCTTCCGCTCTCCCCCACCCGTCCATCTTCCATACGCAGGTCGCCGCAGCCGCCGCCGCTCCTAAGCCAGCAGCATCAGAGCCCGTCTCCGCCTCAGCTGGCAGCGGCGCGTCCGCCGCCAAGCAGCAAGCTGCAGATGGTGCTTCGGGTGAGTTTGATGGAGGGGTGGGAAGAGAGGGGAGAAGTGGGAGGGGGGGGGGAGGTGAAGAAGGGAAAGGGGTAGGGGAAGGACCACGGCCACCACCGCCGCCTCTGCTGGCAGCGCGGCCTCTGCCGCCTTATAGCAAGCTGCAGATGATGCCTCTGGTGAGTGCCCACGTGGGCGATGGGGATCTCTTCTTGCAGCATCAGAGTGCACGAGTGTATCTGCTGGCAGTGGGTGGGGCGTCCACCGCCAAGCAGCAATGTGCAGGCACAAGCACAAGCTGCAAGCGTCCAAGCAGCAAGCCTGCAGCTGCAGATGGTGCCTCTGGTGATGTGAAACCCTAGCCCGCAAGGATGACTTGAAACCCTAGCCCGCAAGGAGGATGACTTGAAACCCTAGCCCACAAGGATGACTTGAAACCCTAGCCCGCAAGGATGACTTGAAACCCTAGCCCGCAAGGATGACTTGAAACCCTAGCCTGCAAGGATGACTTGAAACCCTAGCCCGCAAGGATGACTTCGCAAGGATGACTTGAAACCCAAGACCCCAAAGGATGACTTGAAACCCAAGCCTGCAGCATAATCATCAGGGTCCAGTGGCCCACGACTGCCTCTGCCTGCCGCCTAGCACCAAGCTGTACATGGCACCTCTGGTGAGATTGATGCTGTAGGGACGATGAGGGGGAGGAGGATAGGGAAGAAGCAAAGCTCCCAACCCAAATGTGCTGCCTTTGCCTTCTTCTTCCCTCCTTCCCCCCCCCCCCCTCCCCTGGCCCCACTTCGCTCCTTCGCTTCTCCCTTACTCTATGACCCTCATGCCCCCATGCGTTCCCTCGTCGTCCGTTCCCATGCTCAGTTTTGAGGTGCCTCAAAACTAGCCTCCCTCCCCCCCCAACCCCCCGACCCCCTACTTCACTCCTTTGCTTCTCCCTTACTCTATGACCCACATGCCCCCATGCGTTCCCTCGTTAGTCGGATTTCCATGCTCAGCGTGTTTTTGAGAATTCTAAACCTCCCCCCCCCCCAACCCCTCCCCACTTCGCTCCTTGGCTTCTTCTTTACTCTATGACCCTCATCATGCCCCCATGCGTTCCCTCGTTACCCGGGTTTCCCCTGCTGCTGCTGCTGCCTCGTCGCTCAGCGATTTGCCCCTGCTGCTTCTGCTGCTGCTCTCTCCTCCTCACTGTGTGCTCCCATCCAACCAATCAGATGCGGACAGCTACGCGGGTGACAAGGTCAAGTTGGCCAATCAGACGCCACCTCCAGCGGCAGCAGCAGAGACCAGTAAGCACGCTATATGCCCTCCAAGGCCCTTTTTGCGACGCCTCAGAATAGCCTTTTTGTGCTGCACGTAGAATATCGCCACCTCCAGCAGCAGCAGCAGCAGCAGCAGCAGCAGAGACCAGTAAGCACACTATACGTCCCAAGGGCCTAGTTTGCGGCTTCCTGCCTCACAAGTCTGGTTCTTCTCTTGTTTCAGCGCCCAGGTCTCCCATTTTAATGGTTCCAACGAGCAACAGCTATTTTTGAGGCGCCTAAAATATAGTCTCCCAGCATTTTGATTCCAACGAGCAACAGCAAGCTGCGTACACCCCCTCATGGCGTCCCCTCTGTCCCTTTCCCGACTCTCTTTCATTCTTCTCTGTTGTTGCAGCGCCCAAGCCTCACAACATACTGGTTCCAAGCAGCCACAGCAGCAGCAAGCTGCGCGCACCCCTCATGACGCCCTCCCTGGTCTCCCTCCTCCCATCCCCCCCACCCTTCTTGATCCCTTTTGCAGCGCCCAGAGCTAGTAACCCTCCGCCGCCCATAGTGGTTCCAAGCAGCCACAGCAGCAGCAAGCTGCACTCACCCCTCAATACGCCCTCCCACCCCCCCTTGCGCCCCTTCTTGATCCCTTTTGCAGCGCCCAGATCTAGTAACCCTCCGCCGCCCATAGTGGATCCGAGCAGCAACAGCTGCAACAAGCTGCACTCACCCCTCAATACGCCCTCCCCATCGCCCCTTGCACCCCTCCTTGATCCTCTTTGCAGCGCCCAGAGCAATTAACCCACCGCCGCCCATAGTGGTTCCGAGCAGCAACAGCAGCAGCAACAGCAAGCTGCGCACGCCCCTCCTGACCCCCTCGCTGGTCTCCCCTCAGTACACCCCCTCCGCCACTCCCCCCCACTCCGCCTCTGGTGCTGCCAGCCGCGAAGGTAAGAGACGGTGTGACTGGGACTGTAGCATGGTGTGTCTAGGGATGCATGGCATGCTTGTGGGCCACACGCCCTCCGCCACTCCCCCCCACTCCGCCTCTCGTGCTGCCAGCCGCGAAGGTGAGTGCGTGTGTGGCTGCATGAAGTGTGAATGCATGGGGTGTGACTGTATGTATGGGTGCATGGTGCGCTGTAGTTTGTGCTGTATGAAAGTGTGAATGCGTGAGGTGTGATGTGATGCACGGTGGAGCAGCTTCCACGCCCCTCCTGACCCTCGCTGGTCTCCCCTCAGTACGCGCTGTCTGCCACTCCCCCCCACTCTGCCTCTGGTGCTGCCAGCCGCAAAGATGTGTGCTTAAGTGTCTGTGCCTGTAGTGCATGGTGTGTGACTGTAGTGCATGCTGTGTGACTGTATGGGTGCTCGGGTATGCCCCTCCCCTCCGCCACTCCCTCCCCCCCAAAACTCCCCCTCGGGTGCTGCCAACTGCGAAGGTAAGCCATGGTGTGAAAGGTATTGGGTTTGGCTGTTTGGGGGGCACGGTGTGACCACGGGGGGGGCAGGGCGTGACTACACACCGTGCCCGGTGTGACTACACGGTGTGAGTGACCATGTGGGGGGCAGGGCGTGACTACACGGGGGGCAGGGTGTAATCATCTGATTGTTGCAGGGTGTTACTGTTCGTGATATAGGGTGCTCCTTTATAGGGATCGTGTTCCTTTTGAGGGAGCATGGTGGTGATACATCGCCAAAACAGGCTCCTGTAATGCTGCATTGGTTGCGCACTGCGTCGGTGTGAGATTGTGCATAGCACGGCCCCCCTGCATCTGTATGCGAGTGTGGATGTGGGCGTGTGTGCATCCTGTTATATATATATTTATATATGTATATATATACATATTTCCGTTTCTTCTCTTTTGCGCATTACAATCAAACCTTTCTGTGCCTCTGTTCCACTTCCAGGCCGGCCACCAAGAGTGGATGGGAAGGAATTCTTCAGACAAGCAAGGTAATGCCCAATCTCTCTCGCTCTCTCGCTCTCATCCTGTCTTTCTGGCAAGCAAGACACACGATGGCACCGCCTGGCTCTGTTGTGAAAGTGTTTTTTTTTAGGCGCCTCAAAAAGCAAGCAAGACACACGATGGCACCGCCTGGCTCTGTTGTGAATGTTTTTTTTTTTCTTCTTCCCTGGCTTGTCCCGGCCGAGTCATCCTCCGTTTCCCCTTTTTGCCATGATGCTCGTTTGTTGAGCAGTTGATTGCGTTTTTTTACAACTTGAACGAGGCTCAACGCCCTTAGAGCGGGTCCACGATCCTCGTATCCCTACCATCCCTCCCTCTGTGTGCATTGTTTCCAGGAACCGGCTGTCGTACGAGCAGTTCAGTGCGTTCCTGGCCAACATCAAAGAGCTCAACACATCTTGAGACCCCCCGACAAAGCGCCCTGTGTCTCTCCATCACTCCCCCTGCCCTCCCCCCCTCTTATGTTTCCAGGAACCGGCTGTCGTACGAGCAGTTCAGTGCGTTTCTGGCCAACATTAAAGAGCTCAACGCCCACAGACAGTCCAGAGAGGTGCAGCTTTTCCCCCACGTTCTCCTCCCTCCGTCTTGCTCTTCTTACACACCACCTCCCCCCCCCACTCCATCCTGCTCTGAGTTGTAATTTTCATGCTCTCTTTCAAATTTGTTCTCCTTGTAAGCTCCCTTGTTCCTTCCCTCCCCTCCTTCCCCATGCGCACCATTATTGTTTCTTTGAGGCGCCTAATAATTCCCCCAAACTGCCTGTCATGTCATCGCAGGAAACTCTGCGCAAGGTGGACGAGATATTCGCCCCCGACAACACAAGAAACACTCTGCTAGGCCGTTGCGATATTTTGAGTCGGCTCCAAAATCTCTTGTCCCCCCACATTGCCCCCAACCTGCCTTTCATGTCATCGCAGGAAACGCTGCGCAAGGCGGACGAGATATTCGGCCCTGACAACAAGGACCTGTACACTGCTTTCGACGGCCTGCTATCGCGACACCTGCCCTCATAGATGCCAACTCATCACCAGGAAAGCCCTGAAATATATGTGTGGGCCCCACACAAAGGACTTCTGCACTGCCTTTGACGGCCTGCTATCGCGGCACCAGCTATCATAGACCCCCTCCTTGCTCCGTATTGCCTTGAAAGAACCTCACCCCATGACCTTGGAGACTCAGAGAGCCATGCTGTCATCAAGGCTCCATTCTCCAATCGTCCTCATCTGCCAGTTGCCATCCGGACTCTTGGTGCTCCGCTCATCGGATGGCAAACGGATGGCAACATTCTTCATCACATGGCATCATCTACCAATTGCCATCCGGCCTTTTGGTGCTCTTCTCTGCTCGTTCCTTCTCATCAATAGTCTGAACGTCGTGTGGTGGTAATGGTTGCAAGGCAGGTCAGCGAAATCTGCATAATTTTTATCCGCGTGCATGTGGCGTAGCCTACTTGGTGCTTGCTGCTTTTTATCAACAGAAGCGGGTATGGTGTGGTTGCTGCTGGGCAACCAAGTCTTTAGCACCACCTTATTTATTTATTCCTTAGGATACTGTGTCCCCCCCAGGTACTGTGTTTCGATAAGCATTAGTCTAGTTATAGAATGGCACTTACCAGGGTGGAGTAATAGATTATGTTAAATGCAGCATGCAGTTTTGGTTCCCTGTATACCAAGTTCTATATTACCTTTTCTCTACCGGTATATTACAACCATACCCTTCTAATCTGATACAGCAAAAATCACGAGTTGAGTAGATTTTACCCTTTCAGAGATTTTGGTCCTGCAGCATTCCCAGGTTCTTGTGAAATACACCTAGTGGTATCTGCACATAAAACTACTGCACTAGCTCAAGACAACACCCCATGCATGATCAATCCACGTAACACATTTTAGCCTGAAGTTGCAGCAACCCACTTATGCCCAGTAAGGGCCTTGCATGCACTGCTATATAGCATGCATTACTGTAACAACATTATGAAAGAAGCACCAGCTACAGAGGAACAGAAAACACTGTACAAGGAGCACGAGGTGCTTTGGAGCAACACGTGCAGATCAGATGTGTTCAAGCCCAGTCAATGAGCTTTATTTGCCGAAGGCCGTAATCCCCCCTCCACATCACTCGTCAGGTTGTTGAACGTGAAAACTTTTGTTTTCGCCGAAAACAACACTTTATACTCCACAATGGCCTGTTGTGTGTGGAGGGCAGGGGGGGGGGGGGGGGTGGTGAGGAGGGGTGGGTGGAGGGGGGGGGAGGGGGTAGGGAGATAAGAACTGAAGTTATGGGCAAGGTGACTTACGGTTGGGGGGCTGCCATGATCAGGTAAAGCAGAAGTGACACTTCATGAGTGAACGAGCCTGTGTACAGATCCAAGTCCTAAGTTTTATTACTCAAGGTGGCTAGGGACGGGGCAGGAACACGCCCTGGAGTTCAAAGACTAGTGTTACCGATAGTGTAACAGATAGCCAATCGATTTACTGTACCTCCATGTAGGGGTCGAGCTTGGGATTCACGCCCATGATTCGCGCGTACCCATCGAACCAGGGCGTGCCGGGCGCCCAGAGGGGGCGGAAGTCTTGAAATTGCCGAATCGAGTAGACCTTCGACAAGGGGTCGAAGAATCCGGGGGTCTTCTCATTGGTCGCGATGTACAGCGTGCGCCCAGGTGCAACGAACCTGGGGAGCTTCTCGAGGAGACTGCACAGTGGGAAGGAGAGGAATACAGTGTAACAGTGCGAGGTAGAGGGAGCATGCACGAGGAAAACAAATAATACAATACAGAGCATTACTTTCCTTTCCTGGCGGAACTGTCTGGGTAGTGAATTAGTGAATGCTAAGCGGATCCACTAGACTGACTTACAGATTCACTGATTTCTGTGCAGCACAGCTTTCACTGAATGACTTACGCTGGGGGGCTTGTGTCGTTAGCCACATGGGGCCACATGTTGGTGTTGAGCTTGTCTCCGCGCCGCACTCTCACAGCATCATAGTCACCCCCACCCATGGATGCCGACATGTTGGCTGCTAGACTCCTCAGCTCCGGGCGGAAGAGGATGGCGGTCTCATTGGATGTGATGTAGTCGAATCTCTGTGATGTGTGGGTGTGGAATAAGAAAGAACATATCACAGATACTGCGAATGACTTCCAGCTTTGGGGATGCCGACATGTTGGTTGCGAGACTTCGCAGCTCCCGGCGGAAGAGGATGGCGGTCTCATTGGATGTGACGGTTAGGAGCAGACCAGGTACAAGACACACCCAACATACCATACCGGCCCAGTTGCTCCGAGAACCTTGGCTGGCGGACAATCCAGTGGTCAACAGCTGGGTAACAGCCTTCTCGTCTCAACTCCCTGGCTCGGTTGCTCAGGGGGGCTCGGCCGGCTCTCAATCCAGTGGTCAACAGCTGGGTAACAGCAGCTCACCATGTTGGGCCAGTTGCACTTGTTGCCCTGGCACGCGCTTATCAAAACGGTCAGGAGTAGGTTTGAGGAGCGCCCAATACATAAGCCGGGTTGCTCAGGAAACCCAACGGTCAACACTTGGGTAACTGCAGCAGCTCACCATATTGGCCCAGTTGCACTTTCTGCCCCGGCACGGATCGAAGCCATAATGCCCATCGCGAATGATCAGAGTGGTGGTGGTGTCCTGGGCTAAGGCCTGCAGACGAGGGGGGGGGGTAGGGGCAGAAGAAGTGAAGATACACTCAGGAGGAGTGGACAATAGCTTGCCTTGGCAGGGGTGACTTTAAGAAGCTGTGGCACCCATGGTGAATAATGAGTGTGGTTGGTGCTGTCTGGGTGACTGATTGGCAATGGCCCACTCACCCTTGTCTTCATGTCAGCCTGCACCACACGAGCCAAGGGAGGCGGCGCTGCTGCAGCAAACGCCCCCCCCCCCTCCCCCTCCCCCTCTCCCTCTCCCTCTCCCTCCCCTTCCCCCTCTCCCCCCCTTAGCCGTCTCCTTCCCTCCGCGGCCCCGTTTTTCCTCCCCTCGCCCCCCCCTGGCTCCTGCTGCCGCTGCCATTCCGCCAGGCCTTGCAGGAAACCGTGCAGGGGAGTGAATCTGGCAGCACTGGGGGGGGAGGGGGGAGGGGGGTGGGGGAAGATCCTTGGATCGCTAGTCGTTCCCAAGTCGCAATCAAGTCACGCCACTCCTCCAGGCCGTGCAGTGCAGGAATCTAGTTTTGAGGCGCCTCAAAACTAGACTCCTATCACGCGGTTCTTTTAGGCGCCTCAAAGCTAGACTCCTACCACTCCGCCAGGCCTTGCAGGAAACCCCGTAGGGGAGTGAATCTGGCAGCACTGGGGTAAGGGAAGGGAGGGGGGAACACGGCACGGGGATTGCGTGTGTAATGAGTCGATTTTTGAGTCGACTCAAAAAGTGAATCTGGCAGCACTGGGGTAAGGGGAAGGGAGGGGGGAAGCACGGCACGGGGAATGCGTGTGTATGAGTGTGTGGGGTGGGGCCGGCGGGGGCAGGGTCGAGTCGTCTCAATTGTCGCTGCCATTCCGCCAGGCCTGGCAGGAAACCCTGCAGGGGAGTGAGCCTGGCAGCACTGGGGGGGGGAAGAGAGAGGGGTGGGGATTGTTGGGGGGAGGAGGGGGAGGAGGGGGGGGAGGGTAGACAGCTTATGTGAAAATGGTATGGCTGGGGAGGGTGTCACCTGGGGGAGGGTGTTATCTGGGGGAGGGTATTACCTGAGGGAGGGCAGGTCGTAGTAGTAATGTAGGCCGTGAACACTTGCCGATCCCCCGTTGTGCAACCCGTTAATGCACAGCCCCATATCGAGTACAAGCGTGCGATTCAAAAACGCCGCCTCTGCGATCTTGCACGACAGGCTGCGATGGAAGTGGCGAATGCCAGCGCAGAAATCGCGCTGTCCGGTAACGAAGTAGTACTTTTCGCCTGGGTGAAAGTAATCTTCTCGCCGAACGGGTAACCACTCGGTTTCCCAGACCAATCGCCTATTGGCCTGAAGGTATTTCTGCACCCTCGGCGAATGGAGTGGCTCCACGTCACCTAGAGTTCGCTGCTGCAATTCCGCCTTATATTCGTCCGTCTTGTCTGGCTTCGAATCTTCAGTCTTGTCCGCATCATCGTCCCCCCCACCCTGCGTTTCTTGACTCGACTCGGGAGCCACCTGCTCCGCTCCGCCGCCCTCTCCCGCGGCGGCACCTTCTGCGCTTTCCGCCCCTGCATCCTTGTTCTCCACAACCCCCGCATCCTCACTTTCCGCCACCCCCTCATTCCCCCCATCCTCGCTCTCCGCGACCCCCGCATCCTCACTTTCCGCGACCTCCGCATTCCCCCCATCCTCGCTCTCCGCAAACCCCGCTTCCTCCCCCGCAGTACCATCCGCATCCTCCGTTTCCGCCACATCCCCCGCGTCCCCTTCCACTGCGTTCCCCTTACCCGCAGCCCCCTCCTTCTGTTTCCCCGCGCCCTCTTCCGCGCCCTTTTCTTCCGCTTCCGCCACATACGCCGCTTCCGCGGCTGACTCCGCTACCTTCTCTGCTGCCGTCTCTGTTGCCGTCTCCGTTGCTGTCCCCGTCTCCGTCTCCGTTACCGTTTCGACGATCCCGCTTTCCCTCTCAACCTCCCGCATGACGTCACTCTCGCCTCCCACCCTTCCGCCACGTGGCGAATCCGCATCGACGACGAGCCGCGTCAGATCTCCCGGGCTGGCCGTCAGCGCCGCGAATTGCGGGACGAGCACGAGAAGCAGCAACGGCACGGCCCAGAACAGCCCGTGAATCACCCGCGTCTTCCAATCAGAATGCGCCTTTTTAAAGCCAGTCGCCACGTCAGCCAGCTTCCACGTGTCGCAGTCACCGAGGCGAGCGGTCGGTGCGCACTGGTCGCCGTACTCCGAGGAGTCATCGCCGGACGAATCGTGCATTCCCGCGCCGAGATTGTCCGAGGGAGGGATAGTGACGAGGTGGGTCCCGCACATCGCGCCGACCATTGCGCCGCACGTTGCGCCGTCCATCGCGGGGGGCGCAACTCCCCTCAGGAGGTCCGGGGCGGCTTCCTCGTCGGGCGGTGGACAGTTTAAGAGGTAATACCCAGGCGCGTTCTCAGCTCTGGCAGGTGAGCTGTTTCTCATCGTTGACTCGGCAAGATTGGTAGAAGGAAGAAATGGCCGATACGAGTCTTCTAGAGAGAGATGGCCGAGACGAGACTTCCAGAGAGAGATGGCCGAGACGAAAATTTCTACAACGGTAGGCTTGACGACACCCCGAGAGCCGCGGTGCACGATGCTGGAACTCACAGGCCTAGGCTTCTATTGCTCACCGCGTCAATCTCGAGAATCAGCAACACCGAGCACTAACAGCACTGAGGACCGGCAAACACTGGGAACTAGCAACACCGACAACAAGCAACACCGAGCACTGGCAACGCCGAGAGCGAGCAACGCTTGGTTGGTTGGCAGACGTCGAAGCGAGTGATTCATTGTACAGGGACAGAGCGCGAGCCAAGGGCGAGCCGGTGCAGAATTCGAGCTTCAGAATTACTGGCTTTTTTCGTAGCAGCAACATTTGCTGCAGACTGCCATTCAGCAGCCTCGGGAGGATGTCGAATCGAAGCGAGGCAATCGAGTGTTCCTCCCCATGCTGCTTAACTTGACCCGCCTACGCTACGAGTGAGCAATAAGGGCCGAGAGGGGCAGAAACGAGAGGGGCAAGAGGGAGGGTGAGTCGCGTCGCGGAGGGGCGCAATGGGGGCCAAACGAAGCGCATATGCGAGGCGGGGCCGCACTGCAGCCGGCGGAGAAGCAGCGCAGTGACTGGCGACCGCGCAGTGACGTCACTGGTGACTGCGCAGTGAACGGTATCCCCCGTTGTGGTTGCGAGGTGGGGGAAAAGGGGGCGGATGGGGGAAAAGCTAGCGCTGGGGTTCGGGGGAAGGGGGATTTTCCATGGTCGAAGCGCAGTCAATCGAAGGTGTATCGAAGGTGCAGGTGATAAAAGCGAGGTGACGGCTCGTTTATGGCATGATTTGCCATCCCTGGTTTTATCTTCCTCGACAACGTGAAAGGAAATCCAAGTACACCACTCATATTTACACTACTTAATAGGTGTATTGTATAGATTGTACTGCTCCATCACGTTCCCCCAAACGGAAAGTCATGGGGATGCTGATTGCGGTGGCGGGTATTTTTAGAACGGTACAGAGGTGCTGATGTCCAATTGTACCTGAAGGGTGTCCGTCCAAAAGCAGATGTCAGCAGGCCGAAGAAAATGTCGTTCCAACCGCTGGCCGTCAACTCTTCTTTAGGCGGTTGACAGCATCTGCCCTGACTCTTCACCTTCATAGTTGTTTGCCACGACCGCCCGTGAAACGGTGTGAACTTTCCCTCACTCCCCCTCAATTTCCAGACCGCAATTCAGCTGACTGCGAGAAGCCCACTAGGCTGGTAACTGCGTATCCACTCGCGCATCCTCGTTCCGGGTGCAGTGGATGCCAAACCGCCTTCGCGCATTGAAATCGCCGCATTTCGGAATTCAACTTCCTAAAGAGCTCAAACCAGATCAAGAGCAGAGCCAGACCAGCCAAGCAGCGCAACTGTAGAGCAAGTGCAGATACAGCAGAGCAGAAGCAACAAGGGTACCGAAACAAGCCTAGGTACAGCACAGCACTAGACGGTACAAGCACAGCCAATCAACCTTTCCATTCATGCGTCCCTAATTTCTCGCGTTTAGTCTAGCTCCAAGCACCTGTCGGTTTCGCGGAAGTGACACCACTCGCATTGTGGCTTGGAGTCGCTTAGGCTGCTATCCAGTCGCTATGACGGCCATTCGGGTGGGTAGATACATGGCCGATCAGGAGAGTTAGGGTTCGCGATTGCGCTTATTTTGACCAACAGTTTCCTCCCGAACTGCGGCCCATTGCATGTTAAAATGTTAATCACGTCGTCGTAATCCCGAATGCGTCTGTAAAGGTCTTTCTTTCATAAGAGTTTTCGATGTATCTTCCTGACTTGCTAGCTAGCCGGCTGTCTCTAAGAGACCTAGGTTTTCAGTTGTCGCTGCCGGGTTGTCGCTAGCATTCCTCCATAAATTGTCCATCGCAAGATGAATTGTTCGTCTCGTGTCACGACGTCGTCGTAATCCTGCGACTGAATGGCCTTCCAATGCCAGCTGTTCTAGTCTTTTAACTAGCAGACTTCTGAGTCGACTCAAAAGTCAGCTCGTTCCTATGCCAGCAGTTTTCGTCTCTTTGCACTCCTTAAGCACCTGCCTACGCCTCCTTCGCTGCCGAATGTCGCAGGGATAGTGAGAAACGACCGAGAAGCAGCACCAGGAGACGGCGACGCGCCTGCCTGGGGCACACCAGGTACGAAATCTTAGCTTATGGTGTGAAGGCTATGCAATTTCCGGGACTGCTTTTGAGTCGTCTCAAAACCTGGGGCACACTAGGTACGAAATCTTAGCTGATGGAGTGATGGCTATGCCATTGCCGTTTGTGTCGACTCAAAACCTGGGGCACACCAGGTACGAAATGTTAGCTGATGAAGTGAAGGCTATGCCATTGCTGAGACTCGTTAGCTCCATCCATTCACACAGCAATCACGTGGAATTCATCTAATAATAATGATAATAATAATAAAAACTTTTTCTCTTGCACCCTCTGCTAGTTAACCCCTCCTATCCATGTATTTCACTGAGCGTTGCTGCGACGCCGAAAGTCGTAAGCAGCCCTTTTCCACCTTATTAGCTTGACTTTCACGCTCTCTGCTCGCTCGCTCCCTCCCCACCCTCCCTTCTGCAACCCCCAGAAGGCCTCGGTCGGTGGTGCCTGCTCCACTCCGCATCCCCCTTCCCCAGTCCAATCCTTCCCCTTTCCTCCCCACCGTCCCTTGTGCAATCCCCCAGTAGGCCTCGGTAATGCCTGCTCCACCAGCAGTCTCACCTCCGCAACCCTCTTCTCCAGACCAACCTTCCCCTTTCCTCCCTGCCCTCACACCTGAAGCTGCCCTAGACCCCTCTGCTACTAACGTCACAGCCATCACCGCTCTGGCAGACCCTGCGTTTACCAAGCCTGAAGACGCCGAACCTGTTGCGGCAGATTTGAGGGCTTCTGTGCAGGCAGAGCAGCAGCAAAAGCAGCAGATTCCGTATCAGGCACAGCAGGGCGTCGAAACAGCAGTAGCAGGAGGAGGAGCCGCAGAAGCAGCAGCAGCAGCAGCAGCAGCAGAGGCAGGCAAAGAGGCGTGGGCAAGACAAGGTAGTCTGCCAACTGCAGGCGGGCCTGCTGCAGGCGCGGTCGTGGCGGGGGACGCAGCAGCCACTGCGGCAGCACTCTGCGGTCCGGAGGCAGGGGCGGCCGGAACAGGGGCGCAGGGAGCAGTGGGGCAGGGGGTAGGGGAGCAGGGGGCACGAGAGCGGGGGGCAGGGAAGCAGGGGGCAGGAGAGCAGGGGGCAGGGGAGCAGGGGGCAGGAGGGGTGGTGGGGCAAGGGGCTCCGGGGGCCGAGGCAGCGGCACAAGGGGCAGGGGGAGCAGGGGGGGCGGGGAGAGGGGGGGGGGGAGCAGCGGAGCCGGAGCAGCAGCTGGCGGAGGCGTGGCAGCGGGCGCTGGACGATGCGGAGGTGGAGATAAGGAGCCAGGCGATCGAAAACGAGTTTCTGCGGTCCAAGCTGCGCGTGCTGGAATGGCAGATGCACAACGGGGTGAGTGGTCGCATTGTGAGTGAGTGACTGGGCCGCCGTGCGATATGCGAGTTGTGAGGTGTCTCAGGTCTCGGGTCGGGGTAAGGAGCCAGTCGATCGAAAACGAGTGCCTGCGGTCCAAGCTGCGCGTGCTGGAATGGCAGATGCACAACGGGGTGAGTGGGGCATAGCCGTAACCTGCCCTTTCCACCCACCAGTTCTCCCTCCTCCTCTCCCCCCCTCCCTCTCCTTCTCTGCTCCACCAGCATTAGCAGGTTCGGTCCCGTCCCGCCTGGCGTGAATGAGCCTCTTTCGCCTTTACTCCTGCCTGTCATACATGATCGTCTCAACACGTTTCTCCTGACTCTCCTTCCCTCGCTCGTCGCTTCCCTCCCCTATCCCTCCGCTTGGCAATGGCTGGCGGGCTCTGCCCCACCTGACATGGAGTTTATTTTTGAGGCGCCTAAAAAAAGCAGGCTCTGCCCCACCTGACATGGAGTCTATTTTTTAGGCGCCTCAAAAAAGCAGGCTCTGCTGCCCCACCTGACATGGAGGGGCTTCCCTTCTCTCACTCCCCTTCCTCCACCTCTCGAGCCAATTCCCAATCCGCCTCAAAACACTTGTCGCTGTCTCCGTTTCACTTTCCCTTCTCTTCTCGCTCTCCCATCCCCACCCCACCCACCCAGGCACTGGCAGCAGGTACTGCCCCGCCTGACGTGGACGGCCTTCTCTCCCCTTCCTCCACCCCTGTAGTCACATTTGATGCGCTTCAAAGCACTTCCTCTCTCTCCTCCGCTTTCTCTCCCCTTCCCCTTCCCCCCCGCACCCACCCAGGCACTAGCAGGTACTGCCCCGCCTGACGTGGACGGTCTCCTCTCCCCTTCCTCCGCACGCCTTCCTGCTGCGGCTACTACAGCCGCAGGGCTTGCAGGTCTCACTGTAGGGGGTAACGCTACAGGTGCGGCTGGTTTAGGCGCGCCTGGGGTAGGCGCAGCTGGGTTAGGTGCTAGTGTAGGCGCGTTCACCAGCTCGCCAGCCACCAGTCCGCAGGTAGGGACTGGAGCAGCAGGGGTAGGAGGTATAGCAGCAGCAGGTGGGGAGGTAGGAACAGGGGGAGGTGCCATGGCTGCTGCAGCAGCGGCGGCAGCACCAGGAATGGGAGCGCCAGGAATGGCCGGGCTAGCAGGCACCAGTGGTGGAATGGGAGGGATGTTAGGGTCCGATCAGGTGGTGACTGGGGAAGGTGGTATCGGGCGACTGGGTGGGATGGCAGGGGACGGAATGGGCGGGGGAGGGGGCGGGGACGGGGCAGGGGGAATGGGAGGGGGAGGAGGAGGGGGAATGGGAGGGGCGGCGGAGAAGGACCTGGAAGCAGCTCTGCTGGAGCGGCTGCTGCAGAAGCTGTCGGTTAATGGGACCCTGGCTGCTGCTGTGGCACAGGCAGCAGGGGGGGAGAGGGGCGGTGTAGGGGGAGGGGGAGGAGCAGGAGCAGGAGCAGGAGGAGGGGGAGAGGGGGCAGGAGGGGATGGTGGCATCATGGGGAATGGGGCCATGAACGGAGGGGCAGGGGGCGGGCTAACTGGGCATGTGCTTGATCGTGAGCATGACAGCCTGGCGTTGACTCCGTTTGACCGCCAGTCGCTGGCTGTGCACCCCTCCAACTCCACCTCTTCACGGCAGCTAGCTGCGTTGCAGGTGAGAGGGCAGTATTGGGTGATGGGATGATCAGACCGTTGACTCCGTTGAATCCGTTTGACTGGCAGTCGCTGGCTGTGCACCCCCCCAACTCCACGTCTTCACGGCAGCTAGCCGCCCTGTAGGTGAGAGAAGAGAGGAGGGGGGTAGGTGGAGGGGAAAGAGAGAGGGAGAGAGGTTGGAGAAGGCGTACGGGTAGCAGTGGTTGGTGATTAGAGGGGCGTCGATGTTGTTGACTCCATTTGCGAGGGGTGGTTATCAGACTGGTGTTGACTTCGTTGACTCTGTTGGAATGAGTCCGGGCTTAAGCCCGGCCGATGCCTGATGCAGTGCCTGTGGTGCACCGGTCCGGAGTAACTCCTGAGTCAGCATCATGCATGCTTTACCCGCTTCTCCCCTCCCCTCTCCTCAATTCCCCAATCCCCCCATTCCCCCCCCATTGCTTTCCCTCCAGCCATTAGCAGGGGCGTCAGGCCCTGGCGGTTCCGCCAGTGCAACAGCGTTTGTGGGCGATTGTGGCTTTTCAGTCAACTCAGAAGTCATCCTCCTCCCCTTCTCTCCCTCCTCCTCCTCCTCCTCCTCCTCCTCCTCCTCCTCCTCCTCCTACCCCTCCTTCCCCACCAGCCTTTTGCAGGGGCGTCAGGCCCTGGGGGTTCCGGCGGTGCGAGTGCGTCTGTGAACATGGGCGAGTTGATGCAGCGGGTGGCCTCTCTGGAGGAGCAGGTCAGAGCCAAGGACAAGCTGCTGGCTGCTGCTCAGGCACGGGTGAGTTTCCTTGCAAACACGCAGCGACAGTGGTGGTCTGCACATTGGTGTGGGCAGTTGTGTGGGTGGGTGGGTGGGTGGTGGTGAAAGAATTGAAGAAGTTGTTTCAGTAATAGGATCAGGAGCATACGTAGGAAAGTTAGGAAGGAAGGGAAGGTAGCAAGAGAAGGATGAACAGTGCCACATGCAGTTGGGTAGGAACAGTACCCTAAACCCTAAACCACCATGGGAGCCACTTGCGTGGTCCCAATATTGTGGTCTTGGTGCTCGGGGGCTCCAACCACTCTAGGGTTGGATTAACACCCCTAGCACTTTGATGTGTACACCACATGTTGGTGTACACCTTAGGTAGTATACAAGTCGAGCATGTTACAATAGATATATATAATCTAACAGGTGGGTGGTGGTTGGTGCAGTGCGAGTGCGTCTGTGGGTGTGGGTGGGTGAGTTGATACAGCAACTGCAGCAACGGCAGCAACTGCAGCTCTGCAGCTCTGCAGGAGCAAGTTAGGGCTAAGGACAAACAAAGTGCTGGCTGCAGAGCAGTGGCGGCTATGATCCTATTCTTGGGGCGCCTAAAACAAGCAGGCAGGCATTCACTGCACTGCAACAACCACTCCAGTGCAGTGCAGGGGCGGATATGAGCATGCAGATGCAGATGCACTGCCTTTCAGGCAATCACTGAGACGCATAAAATATACAGCGCAAATGGTATGGTTCACCTCTCAAAGGGGTTCTCCGGAATTTGCCTGCTCTTTGCAGCGGCGGTGCATCATCCTGTCTTGCATGTAATCAACACCAACCACTGCAGTGCAGTGCATGTAACCTCATGCCCGTACCTTTGTGACTTTTGAGTCGACTCAAAAGTCACCTCATGCCCGTACCCTCATGCCCGTACCCTCATGCCCCGTACCTTTCTCTCCCATTCTTCGCCCCCCCATCCATCCGTCATCCCATCCCATGCCTCCTCCCTGCTGCATTACTGTTGTGTACATTGTGACCTGCACTTTGCAGGAAGCACAGCTGCAGGCAGAGAAGCGGTCATTGGAGCGGCGAATGTCTGAGCTCCGACTGGTGAGGAGCAGCTCCTCCTTGCTGCACTTGCTTCTGTTGCGTCTGTATCTCCTCTTGCTCCTCTCTCTGCGTCCATGCTGCAGTGTAGGAATCACGATTCTCTGTGGTTTCTGCACTGCAGCATGGACGCAGCAGCGGGATTCGGGATGGTTTCCTTCCTTGTTTTAAGGCGCCTCAAAAGTCGTTTTAAGGCGCCTCAAAAGTCGTTTTGAGGCGCCTCAAAATCAACGGGATTTGGGATGGTTTCCTTCCTTGTTTCAGTCTCTCGTTTCGCCTTCCCGCTCTTGTTCTCATCTCGTGCCATCCTGTCTTAACATCGTCGCTGATGCTCTCACGCCATCTCTCTACACACAGCTTACAAGCTCTCGTTTCATTCTTCTTCCGCCTGTGGCATCTACCCTGAGTGATCATCCGTTCACCCCATCCATAATCCCATCCTCCGTTGTGCTTGTCTGCTTGTCTGCTTGTCTGCTTGTCTGCTTGTCTGCTTGTCTGCTTGTCTGCTTGTCTGCTTGTCTGCTTGTCTGCTTGTCTGCTTGTCTGCTTGTCTGCTTGTCTGCTTGTCTGCTTGTCTGCTTGTCTGCTTGTCTGCTTGTCTGCTTGTCTGCTTGTCTGCTTGTCTGCTTGTCTGCTTGTCTGCTTGTCTGCTTGTCTGCTTGTCTGCTTGTCTGCTTGTCTGCTTGTCTGCTTGTCTGCTTGTCTGCTTGTCTGCTTGTCTGCTTGTCTGCTTGTCTGCTTGTCTGCTTGTCTGCTTGTCTGCTTGTCTGCTTGTCTGCTTGTCTGCTTGTCTGCTTGTCTGCTTGTCTGCTTGTCTGCTTGTCTGCTTGTCTGCTTGTCTGCTTGTCTGCTTGTCTGCTGCTCTCAGGCGTTTGACGGGCAGCAGCAGAACCTCATGGGGTCGGCCCAGAAGGCCATGGTGTACCGGAAGGACGTGCTGGAGGAGAACGTGCGCCTCACCCGCGCTCTGGAGGTACGTGCTGTGTGGCTTGAGACGTGTGTGGTGGGGTGTGGTGTGGTGTGGTGTGGTGTGGTGTGGTGTGGTGCAATTCATTGCATGTCGAGTTACAACACACCTGGTCGGCCCACAAGGCCATGGTGCACCGGAGGGATGTGCTGGAGGAGAAGGTGCGCCTCACCCGGGCGTTAGAGGTGCGTGCCTTGAGGTGCTGCTGTGATGTTCTGTTCTGTGCTCTGTCCTCATTCTTCCGTGTGAGCCAACCCACAAGGCCCAGAAGGTCATGGTGCATCGCGGGGGCGTGCTGGAGGAGAACGTGCGCCTCATGCACGCGTTAGAGGTACGTGCTGTGTTGTGTCTCGATGCATGTACCGTGTCTTGAAAGCACCTGGTCGGCACAGAGGGAAGGTCATGGTGTATTGCGGGGATGTGCTGGAGGAGAACGTGCGCCTCATGCACGCGCTGGAGGTGAGTGTGATGTTGTGAGGTGTGTGCTGCTGCCAGTGGAGCGGCCAGTGGATGACCGCACCGCATGCTCTTCATCAGCACACTCGCTGCCTGTGCCAGACTGTCTCCATTCCTCTCCCATTTCATATAAGGTTGGTTTTGAGATGTCTCAAAACCAACCTTTTCCCCACTCCTTTTGGTGTGCTCTGCTCCCACCTGGCCCGCAGCGAGTGGAGCACGATCGCATGCTCTTCATCACCACGCTCACTGTGTGTGCGCCGCTTCCCTCTCACTATCCCCCACACTACCCCCTTTCTCTCCTCCCCCCCCTCTTCGGCCCTTCTTGTCCCGCCCGCAGCGAGTGGAGCATGATCGCATGCTCTTCATCACCACCCTCACGCCTTTAGCGGGGGAGTTTGGCCTCTCTGCCACGGCCAGTGCTGACTCGCACCACATGCTGCTGTCCGTCAAGGTGGGTGGGTCCTTTCAAGCAGCTGTCTTGCACTTTGAGGTGCCTTGCCTTGAAGCATGTCACGCGTCAGAAAAGGTGTTGCCTTATGCTGCAACTCAAGCTCGCCGCTAGCAGGGGAGTTTGGCCTCTCTGGCACGGCCTTGCGTGACTTGCACCACATGCTGCTCAGAGCACGCCATGTCTCCTCGGAGCATGCCAACCCACAGCAGCTGCTGTTTGCAGAATGGCTGCTGTTGGAAGTAGACCGGATCGCAAGTCGAGCCGCATCCGGCTCGGCTCGATCAAGCCGGCGGCTCGACTCGGCTCGTACACGATATCCACGTCGAGCCGAGGGCGAGCCGGCTCGTCCCTGGCTCGAGTTCCGAGCCAGGCGGCTCGCGACTCGAGACCAGGGGTGTTGGTGGGGGCTAAATTCCCAGATCGGCAAAACGCTACTCGCATTTCTGGACCTCGCCAGCACCACCTACTAACCCCTAGATAGCTCCCCGCAGCCTACGGTGAGCCGTATAACAGAGGAATGCGCTATTCTGTTGAAAGTAAGCCCTATAACAGTGGAATGCGCTATTCTGTTGAAAGTAAGCCGTATAACAGAGGAATGCGCTATTCTGTTGAAAGTAAGCCCTATAACAGAGGAATGTGCTATTCTGTTGAAAGTAAGCCCTATAACAGAGGAATGCGCTATTCTGTTGAAAGTAAGCCATATAACAGAGGAATGCGCTATTCTGTTGAAAGGAAGCCCTATAACAGAGGAATGCGCTATTCTGTTGAAAGTAAGCCCTAGCAGAGAAAGAAGGCTTGGCGCGTTAGGCTGAATCAGCGCGCCAAGCCACATGTAGCACATTAGAGCGCAGTTTCTTCCGACGACTAGTTTAGGTTAGTTAGATGGCGTGCACCATCCTCATCAGCTAGTTTAGGTTGGTTTCTCTCCCTATTTGCCAGTCGAGCCGAACCGAGCCAGCTCGCCGTCAAGCCGGAGCCGGCTCGACCACAAAATGGCGCACCGAGCCAGGCTTGGCTCATGCCTACGTCTAGTTCAAAGTGCTCTGTTCAAAGTGCTCTGTCCAAAGGGCTCTGTTCAAATTGCTCTGTCCAAAATGCTCTGTTCAAAGTGCTCTGTTCAAAGTGCTCTGTTCAAAGTGCTCTGTTCAAAGTGCTCTGTTCAAAGTGCTCTGTTCAAAGTGCTCTGTTCAAAGTGCTCTGTTCAAAGTGCTCTGTTCAAAGTGCTCTGTTCAAAGTGCTCTGTTCAAAGTGCTCTGTCAAAGTGCTCTGTTCAAAGTGCTCTGTTCAAAGTGCTCTGTTCAAAGTGCTCTGTTCAAAGTGCTCTGTTCAAAGTGCTCTGTTCAAAGTGCTCTGTTCAAAGTGCTCTGTTCAAAGTGCTCTGTCCAAAGTGCTCTGTTCAAAGTGCTCTTCTCAAAGTGCTCTGTTCAAAGTGCTCTGTTCAAAGTGCTCTGCTCAAAGTGCTCTGTCCAAAGTGCTCTGTTCAAAGTGCTCTGTTCAAAGTGCTCTGTTCAAAGTGCTCTGTTCAAAGTGCTCTGTTCAAAGTGCTCTGTTCAAAGTGCTCTTTCAAAGTGCTCTGTTCAAAGTGCTCTGTTCAAAGTGCTCTTCTCAAAGTGCTCTGTTCAAAGTGCTCTGTTCAAAGTGCTCTGTTCAAAGTGCTCTGTTCAAAGTGCTCTGTTCAAAGTGCTCTGCTCAAAGTGCTCTGTTCAAAGTGCTCTGTTCAAAGTGCTCTGTTCAAAGTGCTCTGTTCAAAGTGCTCTGTTCAAAGTGCTCTGTTCAAAGTGCTCTGTTCAAAGTGCTCTGTTCAAAGTGCTCTGTTCAAAGTGCTCTGTTCAAAGTGCTCTGCTCAAAGTGCTCTGTTCAAAGTGCTCTGTTCAAAGTGCTCTGTTCAAACTGGTCTGTTCAAAGTGCTCTGTTCAAAGTGCTCTGTTCAAAGTGCTCTGTTCAAAGTGCTCTGTTCAAAGTGCTCTGTCATGCTTTCCTCTCATCCTTGCTCTCCCTTGCCCTTTCCTCTCATCCTTGCTCTCCCTTGCCCTTTCCTCTCATCCTTGCTCTCCCTTGCCCTTTCCTCTCATCCTTGCTTTCCCTTGCTCTTTCTCCTCTACCTCCTTCCCCCGTGCTCCCCTCCACCAGGCTGTGCTGCAGCAGCTGCTCACCCGCACCACTCGCACCAACGAGGCAAGTTCCCTTCATCCCTCCCGCGCTGCATCCCTCCCTAGTTGCATCCCTCCCAAGTTGCATCCCTCCCGCGTTGCATCCCTCCCGCGTTGCATCCCTCCCTAGTTGCATCCCTCCCTAGTTGCATCCCTCCCTCGTTGCATCCCTCCCTAGTTGCATCCCTCCCTAGTTGCATCCCTCCCGCGTTGCATCCCTCCCTCGTTGCATCCCTCCCTAGTTGCATCCCTCCCTCGTTGCATCCCTCCCTCGTTGCATCCCTCCCTCGTTGCATCCCTCCCTCGTTGCATCCCTCCCTAGTTGCATCCCTCCCTAGTTGCATCCCTCCCTAGTTGCATCCCTCCCTAGTTGCATCCCTCCCTAGTTGCATCCCTCCCTCGTTGCATCCCTCCCTCGTTGCATCCCTCCCTCGTTGCATCCCTCCCTCGTTGCATCCCTCCCTAGTTGCATCCCTCCCTAGTTGCATCCCTCCCTCATTGCATCCCTCCCTAGTTGCATCCCTCCCTCGTTGCATCCCTCCCTAGTTGCATCCCTCCCTAGTTGCATCCCTCCCTCGTTGCATCCCTCCCTAGTTGCATCCCTCCCTAGTTGCATCCCTCCCTAGTTGCATCCCTCCCTAGTTGCATCCCTCCCTAGTTGCATCCCTCCCTAGTTGCATCCCTCCCTCGTTGCATCCCTCCCTCGTTGCATCCCTCCCTCGTTGCATCCCTCCCTCGTTGCATCCCTCCCTAGTTGCATCCCTCCCTAGTTGCATCCCTCCCTCGTTGCATCCCTCCCTAGTTGCATCCCTCCCTAGTTGCATCCCTCCCTCGTTGCATCCCTCCCTAGTTGCATCCCTCCCTCGTTGCATCCCTCCCTAGTTGCATCCCTCCCTAGTTGCATCCCTCCCTAGTTGCATCCCTCCCTAGTTGCATCCCTCCCTCGTTGCATCCCTCCCTCGTTGCATCCCTCCCTCGTTGCATCCCTCCCTAGTTGCATCCCTCCCTCGTTGCATCCCTCCCTCGTTGCATCCCTCCCTCGTTGCATCCCTCCCTAGTTGCATCCCTCCCTAGTTGCATCCCTCCCTAGTTGCATCCCTCCCTCGTTGCATCCCTCCCTCGTTGCATCCCTCCCTCGTTGCATCCCTCCCTCGTTGCATCCCTCCCTAGTTGCATCCCTCCCTAGTTGCATCCCTCCCTCGTTGCATCCCTCCCTCGTTGCATCCCTCCCTCGTTGCATCCCTCCCTCGTTGCATCCCTCCCTCGTTGCATCCCTCCCTAGTTGCATCCCTCCCTAGTTGCATCCCTCCCTAGTTGCATCCCTCCCTCGTTGCATCCCTCCCTAGTTGCATCCCTCCCTAGTTGCATCCCTCCCTAGTTGCATCCCTCCCTAGTTGCATCCCTCCCTAGTTGCATCCCTCCCTCGTTGCATCCCTCCCTCGTTGCATCCCTCCCTCGTTGCATCCCTCCCTCGTTGCATCCCTCCCTCGTTGCATCCCTCCCTAGTTGCATCCCTCCCTCGTTGCATCCCTCCCTAGTTGCATCCCTCCCTAGTTGCATCCCTCCCTAGTTGCATCCCTCCCTAGTTGCATCCCTCCCTAGTTGCATCCCTCCCTCGTTGCATCCCTCCCTCGTTGCATCCCTCCCTCGTTGCATCCCTCCCTCGTTGCATCCCTCCCTAGTTGCATCCCTCCCTAGTTGCATCCCTCCCTCGTTGCATCCCTCCCTAGTTGCATCCCTCCCTAGTTGCATCCCTCCCTCGTTGCATCCCTCCCTAGTTGCATCCCTCCCTCGTTGCATCCCTCCCTAGTTGCATCCCTCCCTAGTTGCATCCCTCCCTAGTTGCATCCCTCCCTCGTTGCATCCCTCCCTCGTTGCATCCCTCCCTCGTTGCATCCCTCCCTAGTTGCATCCCTCCCTCGTTGCATCCCTCCCTCGTTGCATCCCTCCCTCGTTGCATCCCTCCCTAGTTGCATCCCTCCCTAGTTGCATCCCTCCCTAGTTGCATCCCTCCCTCGTTGCATCCCTCCCTCGTTGCATCCCTCCCTCGTTGCATCCCTCCCTCGTTGCATCCCTCCCTAGTTGCATCCCTCCCTAGTTGCATCCCTCCCTCGTTGCATCCCTCCCTCGTTGCATCCCTCCCTCGTTGCATCCCTCCCTCGTTGCATCCCTCCCTCGTTGCATCCCTCCCTAGTTGCATCCCTCCCTAGTTGCATCCCTCCCTAGTTGCATCCCTCCCTCGTTGCATCCCTCCCTAGTTGCATCCCTCCCTAGTTGCATCCCTCCCTAGTTGCATCCCTCCCTAGTTGCATCCCTCCCTAGTTGCATCCCTCCCTCGTTGCATCCCTCCCTCGTTGCATCCCTCCCTCGTTGCATCCCTCCCTCGTTGCATCCCTCCCTCGTTGCATCCCTCCCTCGTTGCATCCCTCCCTCGTTGCATCCCTCCCTCGTTGCATCCCTCCCTCGTTGCATCCCTCCCTAGTTGCATCCCTCCCTAGTTGCATCCCTCCCTAGTTGCATCCCTCCCTCGTTGCATCCCTCCCTAGTTGCATCCCTCCCTCGTTGCATCCCTCCCTCGTTGCATCCCTCCCTCGTTGCATCCCTCCCTCGTTGCATCCCTCCCTAGTTGCATCCCTCCCTCGTTGCATCCCTCCCTAGTTGCATCCCTCCCTCGTTGCATCCCTCCCTCGTTGCATCCCTCCCTCGTTGCATCCCTCCCTCGTTGCATCCCTCCCTCGTTGCATCCCTCCCTAGTTGCATCCCTCCCTAGTTGCATCCCTCCCTCGTTGCATCCCTCCCTAGTTGCATCCCTCCCTCGTTGCATCCCTCCCTCGTTGCATCCCTCCCTCGTTGCATCCCTCCCTCGTTGCATCCCTCCCTAGTTGCATCCCTCCCTAGTTGCATCCCTCCCTCGTTGCATCCCTCCCTCGTTGCATCCCTCCCTAGTTGCATCCCTCCCTAGTTGCATCCCTCCCTCGTTGCATCCCTCCCTCGTTGCATCCCTCCCGCGTTGCATCCCTCCCTCGTTGCATCCCTCCCTCGTTGCATCCCTCCCTAGTTGCATCCCTCCCTCGTTGCATCCCTCCCTCGTTGCATCCCTCCCTCGTTGCATCCCTCCCTCGTTGCATCCCTCCCTAGTTGCATCCCTCCCTAGTTGCATCCCTCCCTCGTTGCATCCCTCCCTCGTTGCATCCCTCCCGCGTTGCATCCCTCCCTCGTTGCATCCCTCCCTCGTTGCATCCCTCCCTAGTTGCATCCCTCCCTCGTTGCATCCCTCCCTCGTTGCATCCCTCCCTCGTTGCATCCCTCCCTCGTTGCATCCCTCCCGCGTTGCATCCCTCCCTCGTTGCATCCCTCCCTCGTTGCATCCCTCCCTAGTTGCATCCCTCCCTCGTTGCATCCCTCCCTAGTTGCATCCCTCGCTCGTTGCATCCCTCCCTCGTTGCATCCCTCCCTAGTTGCATCCCTCCCTCGTTGCATCCCTCCCTCGTTGCATCCCTCCCTAGTTGCATCCCTCCCTAGTTGCATCCCTCCCTCGTTGCATCCCTCCCTAGTTGCATCCCTCCCTCGTTGCATCCCTCCCTCGTTGCATCCCTCCCTCGTTGCATCCCTCCCTCGTTGCATCCCTCCCTCGTTGCATCCCTCCCTCGTTGCATCCCTCCCTAGTTGCATCCCTCCCTCGTTGCATCCCTCCCTAGTTGCATCCCTCCCTCGTTGCATCCCTCCCTCGTTGCATCCCTCCCTCGTTGCATCCCTCCCTCGTTGCATCCCTCCCTAGTTGCATCCCTCCCTAGTTGCATCCCTCCCTCGTTGCATCCCTCCCTCGTTGCATCCCTCCCGCGTTGCATCCCTCCCGCGTTGCATCCCTCCCTCGTTGCATCCCTCCCTCGTTGCATCCCTCCCTCGTTGCATCCCTCCCTCGTTGCATCCCTCCCGCGTTGCATCCCTCCCTCGTTGCATCCCTCCCTCGTTGCATCCCTCCCTAGTTGCATCCCTCCCTCGTTGCATCCCTCCCTAGTTGCATCCCTCCCTCGTTGCATCCCTCCCTCGTTGCATCCCTCCCTAGTTGCATCCCTCCCTAGTTGCATCCCTCCCTCGTTGCATCCCTCCCTAGTTGCATCCCTCCCTCGTTGCATCCCTCCCTCGTTGCATCCCTCCCTCGTTGCATCCCTCCCTCGTTGCATCCCTCCCTAGTTGCATCCCTCCCTAGTTGCATCCCTCCCTCGTTGCATCCCTCCCTCGTTGCATCCCTCCCGCGTTGCATCCCTCCCGCGTTGCATCCCTCCCTCGTTGCATCCCTCCCTCGTTGCATCCCTCCCTCGTTGCATCCCTCCCTCGTTGCATCCCTCCCTCGTTGCATCCCTCCCTCGTTGCATCCCTCCCGCGTTGCATCCCTCCCCCGTTGCATCCCTCCCTCGTTGCATCCCTCCCTCGTTGCATCCCTCCCTCGTTGCATCCCTCCCTCGTTGCATCCCTCCCTAGTTGCATCCCTCCCTCGTTGCATCCCTCCCTCGTTGCATCCCTCCCTCGTTGCATCCCTCCCTCGTTGCATCCCTCCCTCGTTGCATCCCTCCCTCGTTGCATCCCTCCCTAGTTGCATCCCTCCCTAGTTGCATCCCTCCCTCGTTGCATCCCTCCCTCGTTGCATCCCTCCCTCGTTGCATCCCTCCCTCGTTGCATCCCTCCCTAGTTGCATCCCTCCCTCGTTGCATCCCTCCCTAGTTGCATCCCTCCCTCGTTGCATCCCTCCCTCGTTGCATCCCTCCCTCGTTGCATCCCTCCCTCGTTGCATCCCTCCCTCGTTGCATCCCTCCCTCGTTGCATCCCTCCCTCGTTGCATCCCTCCCTAGTTGCATCCCTCCCTAGTTGCATCCCTCCCTCGTTGCATCCCTCCCTCGTTGCATCCCTCCCGCGTTGCATCCCTCCCGCGTTGCATCCCTCCCTCGTTGCATCCCTCCCGCGTTGCATCCCTCCCGCGTTGCATCCCTCCCTCGTTGCATCCCTCCCTAGTTGCATCCCTCCCTC